AAGCGTTTTAGAGTTATGCATGATATATACGTAGGTACATACAGATGTCGCGCAAAAAATCCCTTTTGAATATATTTTAAAACCATTTTACAATCTGTTTTAGAGAAAAGACTCCTTTATTCTACCCGCGAGTACAGACCCAACGGAAAAAAAAGAAAAAAATGTACAAATGGATTCGGGAGCTGTCAAAATGAATATTTTCGTTGAACTATGATACCCGAAATTTTTCACTGTTACAATATTTTTTTTATTTCATAAAAGGGAAAAAACTATTAATTACGTGATTTTCTATATTTATTTAAAAAATGTGTTACAGTCTGAAGCAGAAGGAGTGAATCGTCTCTTTCGGACAATCACATCACTTGCAGACGTATTACTTTCATGCTAATATCACTACGTCACATGATTCTGTGCGTTTATTCTCCTAAAAACATTATTTTAAGAATTGATTAGCGTTAAGAATTATTTACTATTAAATTTGTACTTCGTTTGTGATTTTTGTTTCCACTTCATAAGTTTATATACAATTTTCTCAGCATCTCAGTTTAGAAGTTGATCTTCTTAACTTTATTGTAGTACATTCTGGCTGACTGAAATAACTACAAACCATCTCATATGTTTTTCTATTACAAAATTAAGCACACACTGTTTTTCAAAACCGTAAAATCAATATTTGTGGATACCTATACTATATCATTAGTAGTTATTCATGTGTAAAATAATCTAACTTTGTATGCGGTATTAATATGTGTGTGTGCGCGTACCGTCTGCACTCTAATGTTCATATAGCTTTTTTAATTTTCTAATGTAACTTGTACTAGATATAGAATACATCTGTTGGCTTGGCAACCACCTTGGTACGGTCAACGTCAGGACTACTCCGGCGGCGTGAGTGATTCCGAGGCATGTGGAAGTCAGTCATCCATAATTCTATTACATATTCCTTTTTGAAAGATGCTTGCATTAGATATTTGCATATTCACTGAGATACACTATTCATAACATTTTTCTAGATGTTTCAGATAGTTTTGAATTTGTTGTTAACAATATTGCTATTAGTTGCTTTCATAGAATGGCATTATCATCAGCGCGAACTGTATTTTTTAGGGTCACCCGAAAACTCGTGTGTGTATAGATGCACACTTGATTACAGTATGCCAATACTAAGATAAGATATTGGAATCATTATACTGCCTTGAGATACCCCTGCGTTTATCCTGTAGATGGTATATTTCAGAGTTGACACAAACGCAGAATTCAGCATTATCTACAGAAGTTCAATATAGTTAATCATATAATCCCGGAAGCATCAGTTCTTTGACCTTGTAGAGGTGAACCTTTGTGCCACATACGGTCAAACGCCATTTTTGTATCTAAAAAAAAAAAAAAACCGGGTCTTTCAACATTTTAGAGCTAAAACCTTTGGTAACTGTATTAATTAGGCGAAGAAGCTGGTGCAAGAAGAGTGCTTAGCTCTAAGCTCAAATTGCTCATGAGGAAAATAATTAAGTATTTTGCAGTGATTCATCAGTAAGTTGTAGATAACTCTTTCTAAGGCATTAAGGAGATTAAAAAGTGTGTCGTTCGGTGGGGCCAGCTCTCTTTATTTAGCTTTGGAAATACGATATAGGAAAATACGATATTGGAAATACGAAATAGTTATAACTGCCTTCCATTTGCTTCAGAAATTGCTGTGCTGCTGTAAGCAGGAACTAATAATTTTAGTCTGGTTGGTGACTGAGTTATTTGGCAGATGTTTAAGCATTTTGGGGGGGACATGATATTGTACATTTGAGAAAGTTCAAAAGTTTTTGAAGTTACAAAAGGTGAAAAATTTATTTATCCAGTTTGGTATAGCTAATTTATTATGCTTTTACCGCTTTATAATAATACTCTAGTCGTAGTGCCAAAGATAAATTTGAAAAGAGTTTCCTATTTTGCCTGTAATACTTATATTGTTTTGCTTTATAAGTTTTAAGTAAAATGTTCTTTTGAAGCGTGGAACTGAGGTATGGGAATAAAATGTTTTGTAAGAGTTTTTTGCTTATGTTATTCGGGATATTCCTTTAATCTTCAATAAACGTAGAAAATGTTTCTGCTTTCTCTGCTAGTATTTTTCAAGTTCCTCTTTAGGCCTGCTTTGGAGGTGATTTTCAATAGTTTTAGTGACAAAAATATATTATTTTCAGCGTTTTCGAGCTGTGCTTCTCTTTAATGAGCTGCTGGATATCTTGAGACAATTAACTTGATTATCTACAGAGCTTTATTATTCCTACTTGTTAACGCCCTGATCTACTGAGTAAGTTTTATAACTTCGTGGTCGAAGTCATCGGCTTTGGTGATTTTTGGGTTTGCATGCATAAGTATGTTTGTGAATTTACTCTAGTTTATAACTGTTGTTAATTGAGATGTGTCGAGCGAAATGCAGACTGGTTTGACGAAAGTAAACAATGCTATTTTATACAGTAGAGCTAAAGACTATTATTCAGCATGAAGAAGTCAATAAGTACTGGCACTACATGCTGAGTATCTTGCTGAATTCTTGCTGAATAATGCGATTATATATATACTGAGTTCTAGGCAAGTTTGAGGAAAAGATTTCCACGGGCATTGTTGGTTGCGTTGTTTTAATAGCGGTGCTTTGCAGCTTAGTCCCATCTTAGTATTGTAAAAGATTCAGTTAGAAGATAAGCAATTAGTTCGATACGGTCAAAAGTGCGACTGGGTGGAATATAGATTTTAGCCAAAAAATGTGCTTAATACCGTGAATGAGAGTGACAATTGTGCTTTAAGTGATAATGTACGTATGTTATTACAGTAAAGATTAGTGTGCTTTTTATGTGTGTAACAGCTTTACCATCTCGTCTTGTAAATATGAAAGTTTTACATGTTATTTAATTGGGGACTTAAATACTGGAGGCTAGCTTCAAATGTGTCTCTTATATGAAGATCACATGAGAGTCCAGATCTTCCATACCGCTGACAAGATGATCCCTTTTTCTTCACAAATACAGTCGCATTCCAGGAGAAGATAATTAGGTCTTTAGCATTGTTACGCATCGGGAAACTAATTGTATTTATTGAAAATGTGTTATAACCTTGTATTAATGGAAAATATCTCCATTGCCCTGTTTGTGCTGTATGCTTTTGGAACCTTTTTTTATAATTTTCCATATAGTAAGGAAGTTGTTAAAATCGATATTAGTATGTGTTTGGCTAGTTTTTTTCCATGTTGACTCTTACCAGTGAAATTAGGAAGGACTACGAAGTCAGTTAAGTTAGGATCTGTTTGAAATTTGTTGAAGTAAGTTTTCTACTAGTTGGAATCTCGGGTTAAAAGTCCTTTAGGGAGCACTATTTCTCAAATGTTTGGGACTTAGGTGTTTGGAATATACTCGCTATTTCTTAGGTGTTTGGAAGATACACTTAGGTCACGTAAAAGGATCTACTATGTGGTCTTCAACGCAGTTCTTGGTAAAATTCCGCTACCACAGCAGGGAAAGCGAGAAGAGCATTTACAATGTAAAGAGCTAGGGCCACTGTAGCATTGCGCAGATCCAAGACGACAACTAGAAGCTCCAAAATCCGAAACATGGTTCGAATATTCATTTAAAACCCGTTATGCGTTTGTTTCATTCATCAGCAGAAGAAACAGATAATTTTTAAGTCGAATAAGTATGCTTAAGTACTCTTGCTTCAGAATCATGAAGATGCGTGAACTGAAGAAGAATAGGTTCAAATAAGGCAAATGTGCAAATTATTAGTATGAGAAAGCGGAGCTTGGAAAATTTTTGAATTCAGCGGGAAAGAAAAGACCTCTGACGGACTGCCATAGTAACGCAAAAGTTAGATACATTTGGTATTTAATCGTTATTTTGATTATTTATAGCTGAAGGATGATATTATTTTCTGGAATCATTGTGATCTTCTGTGCGATGTTACAAAATCTTAATGTTTCTATCAGTTCAGAGATTCCATTAATATGAGTGTTAGACTTTAAAAACATTTCCTTCTATTCGAGCAAATGAAAGCATGAAACCCATTGCTGATTTACAATCACAAATAAAATTATCAAAAGATATTTTGATAATTTATTTGTGATTGGAAGTGTTTAAATAAAAGGAATTTCAAAGGGACGTATTTTTGGAACGTGTTACAAAAACAGGCAAACAAGTTTACAAAGAGACTCTAAATTAAATTGGGATTTTAAATAACACAAATTTAGAGCTAAGTTTTACTGGAATGATTCTATAGAATGAATAATAAAAATATGTAAATATAGTACACATGTTTGACTGCACGACTAATTTCTGCTCCTCTGATGACTATGACTATCTATGCTACTATCGTATTCATTTTGTATATTTTATATTAATTTTGTTTATAAAATGATTCAGTACTTTACAGGTCTACAAAGACTTTCTAATTCCCTTGGGTGTCTACATAATTAGTTATTTCTTACTGTTGGCATTTTATTTCTTAAATTACTTAACTAAACTAAAATTTTATTCTAATTTGTTTGAGATTCTTAACAGTTTATGAATTTTGATTAAACATTTGGGATTTAAGAAATTATTAAAAAATAATTTTTTATTATTTTCAGTTTAAAACATATCTATACCATTATTAAGCAAAACTTTTATCGTTATTTGGCCAAGAACAATCTACTGTTGCAAATTTTCCCTTAACTCTACAGCCTGTTAGATAGAATGAAGAAAGCATGTGCGCTCAAATTTTAGAAAATCAATAAAAGTGAAGTCACAGAGAAATAATTTTAACTATTTAGAAAATGCTATAAGTAAAGATTATAATTATCTTTAATATCGTATTTAATTTAGATTCCGAATCATGCTATGTTATAAAAAGTTATAAAAATTTATGAATACTCTCAAATTAAGACCAACTCTGATCCTTCTTTCTTTCATTAAATTAAGCTTCATTGTTATTTAATTGATATGTACGTGTTCAATTGATTAGTTATTTCCAGATATTTATTACAGATCTCTCATCAGTTGAGAAAGAAGGCCCAATGTTAATGCATACGAATTTTATAACATCCAGACACTTATTGATCAGATGCCACAGGTAAAGTTATCATTTTATAAAATCTGTATAAATGCCATGAATTAAAACAGTAAATTTCCTCATAGTTGCCTCGTTAAAAAAATATGCTATATCCTCATAAAAATTATTTCTCTTTTCAACTAAAACATTCTGAAATTAAAAATTAACAAAAATTATAATTGGATATCTATATCCATCTGCTTTTTGTCCGTAATTAGTTTCTTTGCTTAAAATAAAAATAGCATTCAATATTTTATATTTTTCAACAAATTTGGGTTTCCGAATTCTATAAAGCAAGGCATATACGAAATACTTCCTTGCGCTTAATTTTTGTCCTTAATTCGTTTTTGTTAAAATTGAATGGTCAAGCTAAAATCGATTTATGTTTGTCTCTGTAGAAAATCTAACTGCGTATTCCTGTTTACGTTTTTTTTTTTTTTTTTTTTTTTTTTTTTCGCTAAAATTTCCAAATACTTTGAAGTGCATTAGGCAATTTTCTGAAATCTATTCAATTCGAGGAATTAATATTGCTTTCTAATATCCTACTTTTAATATTGCTTTCTTAATACTCTAATTTGTCCATGCTGCGCGTAAGCTAATAGACCCAGGGTACGAAATTTGGTATATAGGTGCATCTAGACAAAAGCCAGTGCACCTCGAAGCGATGTTTTCAAAATTCGGATCAGATTTTTTTAATTTTATCTTTTCGATTTTATCACATCATTTTGAATAGTTTCATTCTTTTAAAAATGTAGTTTTGGCAACAGTTTTACATTCAATTCTATACTGGACTGCTGACTGTTGAAAATCAGCACTGTTGCCACTTGGAAAAGTGAGGGCGATAATTCTGTGTAGTTTTTAAATTTAATGTTTTTCTTGGATACTGGACGTTTGTTGAGAGAGAAGGCGACAGAAAGAAGTTGGTTAATTTATTAGGATAATTAATATTTGTATTAAGAGATATATTGCTTATTTCATGTAATTTTGTTTATACGAAATATTTTTTTTTAATTTATGGTTTTTTTTTAATTTTTTTAAATATATATATATATATATACATATATATTTTCGAAAGTTTTCCAACTAGTGGAATGAATCAAAAATTGCAGCGAATAGTCATATGTGTTAACGGAAAAGGCAGAAGAAATAACAACGCTGGTAAACCCAACGGCTGTATAAATTTAAATTACGTCACAGAATTTTATATCATATCATAAACGGAGAATCCAAAGATGTCTCAATCGAATTTGTTGAAGATTGAAGAATTAATTCTTAGAAGTACATAGATATCAGCTAAAAACCTTTTCAGCGTTGATGGCATCAGTTTTAATTTCAACTCCTGCCTTCAAAATGCCTAGCCTCTAAGATGTTAAATATCATTGTCAAAAACAACCATACAATTCTACCTGGGCAAATTTATCAACGATTTTTAAAAAAGTTAATAAATATAGATAGCTTCCTTAATTATTCTACACTATGTATTTAATTTTAGGAATTTAACTTTGTAGGATCCATTGCTGAGGCAAGATTACGTTTTACTAAAATTCTGAGCGTTACTATAGAAAGCTTTTTAAAAAAAAACATAAACACGCTTTAAAGAAAGAAAATTCTGTATAGTAGCAAACGTAATTACAGGCTAATATTTATAATACATATTCTTGCGTGCGTACGGGTTCGTTATAAATTGAATGCAGCCGATGAAAATTGAATAAAATTTATTATTATCACAAGAAATAAAACAAAATGCTTAAAGTTCCTCAGATACTCGTACAATATCCCAAAATCTCACAGTAGTAGTTATCTTTTAAACTATTAAAAACGTTCACAGAACTTAATTCAAAACAGAGAAACGCAGAAAAAGCTAATCCGAGTTCACCGCGAATTCGCTGCAGTAAACAACAGCAGTTTTCTAAACAAACTCATAAAACAACTCCGAATTGGGAGGTTTTCCTCCTTTCATAAGCTTTTTAAATCACGCACGAGCACATTCTGGTATTTTCTCGAAAAGCAAAAGCGTACAATTACGAGATATCTATTAAACGCGCGTGCTTCTGTATTTTTCAATTTCCGGCGTATAGCTTTCCCTACAGATAAGTCGCGTACAGCGTTGCACGGGGAAATGAAACAATTTAATAAAAAATCTATTTAAAAATAGCTAATTCAATATAAAAACCATAACAATATCATAGGTTAGGTTAGTTTTTTACCATCTTCCTGCACACGCGCCTGTACCTAACAGTTACGAAGTGCCCAAAGTGCCGAAGTTTCCATTAGCGGCCACACACTTCGCTCAATAGCAAAGGTCTGCTTGAATATTTTTGGTTAATGGGTCCGCGGAAATTGCGGCACATGTGCGTGTAATTTCTTAACTAAAGTTTTTAAGCAGATGCCCTATCTTATAGGTAAAAGAATTCGCCGTTTCCATAAAATGCATGCGTGGTTCATAAATTGATGTGCGTAGAATTTTCGGATTACTTTCCAAGTAACTGCACCTTCAAAAAAGAAGGTTCACATTGAACACTGGGATGATAATTTACACCAAATCTTAACCGCAAGTAGTTTGACTGCCTTGTCAACAGGAATATGCGGATATTTCCCTGCCCAGTTAAATACAATTAGGCGGTTCTTTAAAATTTGAATAAGGCCTCATCAGACCTACACAGTCTTCATCTTCATTTTCCAGATACCGGATCTCCAAATGTCGTAAAACTACATTTGGAGATCCGGATCGTCCTTTTTTAGTGCATGGAATAATTTTGGATTGTACATTTTCCACTTAGCTGCTTTCAGAATGCATTGTACTTTGGCTGCGCTAATACTAGTCTCCTGGGCACATTGTACAGCAAACCGCTGACGCGATCTTGCAAAATATTTTAAAACTATAGCTGAAGTAGCAGGACTTGTAAGTACACTACATCTGCTGGATCATTTTTTGTTCAAATAAAAATTGCTACCATGAGTGCCAACTTTGTCACCAGGCCGTGTAGTTGTCAAGCGTCCTGCATGTTAGGCTGCAAACTCGCGACTCTATTGACATTTTAATTCAGCAACATTTCCAAAACTTGAAATATTATTTCAAAATTGATTTCCATTCCTTAAATATCAAGCATGCCTCAGTCTTTGAAACATCGTACATCAGTTGAGAAAACATGTACTACATATTCTAGCGTAATTTAATTCAACTTCGAAACCAAAACGCATATGCTATATATTAAGGTATGCATGTGTTTTCCTGAAGGACTATAAGCATCAAATCTAAAGGCAGGTATTGCTTGCTTTAGCAAACAAAAGTACTCTCACAATATTATTTATTATTTCTAAAGGCGAATGTTAGTTTCTGTAAAAAATAATTTGATTACTAGTATTTTATAGTGCATTCCATTCGTGCCTAACGCTTATGCTTTTATCATACGTATTGTGAAGATGCGATGCTAAAAATGATGAAGTGAATTGAGATTTATTTATAGTGTCGATGGGCCTATAAGCATTGTAATACATATAGCAACATTTGGCTCCTTAGTTCACTCAAAATGTTTAAGTTATACTCCACTCAAGAAGGCTGGTTAGTTCTACTAAAAATCACTTGATATGAGAGCCGTAGCTAAGGTTTTCAGTGCTTGGGGACAGCTGAAGATTTTGCGCCCCTTTCTGTGTGCCGAGAATGGGAAACATTTCTAAAATTTTGTAACATCAATTTGGGGCCCTCACCCTCTGGATGGGGGCTGTGCCCGAGAACAGATGTTCCCCCTTGTCGCATCCTAGTTACGCTATTGCGTGATATTGCCGTAAATTTTTAGGTCAAAAGGTTAAGGTAACACTTTGATTCTCATTTGAAAAAGTGCTTTCTGATATAAGCAGTGAGTGGCCTTGTAGTATCTTTTTGGAAAATATCTCTTGATATTTTGGAAACGCCGCCCATACGGTATAGTGGTTAGGGAAGCCTGATTGCGGTACTGAAGGGCCCGGGTTCGAATCCCGAAAAGGCATGGATGTAAAATTGTCAGCTCCTTCATAGAAGGTAACGGTGGCCGCCTGTTAGGTGCGTCCACAATAAAATGGCCACCACTTGTGGCCTTTGGAGTGGCTAATGCCGTTATAGGCAAGTGCCCGCCATTGGAAAAAAAATATTCTCGAAACCAATTCTTAAGACAATCTAAGAATTTACCACTTACCTGCGCTTCCTGCAATGTGTCCTTTTTAATACTGCACTGAATAGCATATGTTCTGCAACACACAGCTAACAAACATTTGCCCCACCCAGGTTTTGTTTGATAACTGAAAAAACGTAGTTGAAAACTAAAAAGGACTGGCCGTATTCCAGACGCATAAAGATTTGAGCAACTGTATGATATTTGGTAGTGGTAGAAGTATCACCCTTAACTATTAAATCTCCAGACTCTCCGTCACTGATCATCATGGCGGAGACAGAATCGTGATGGATTCTGAGTGTAATTTGAACCATTCATCGCTTTAAATACCCCCTGGTACAATACCGCTGTAAGAATTTATGACGATAATTCGTTGCTTCTGCAAACTGCAATTTCATTACAGAGCTGACTCAACTAGTCCAACAGAGATTACATTGGATTCTATGTCTCAAAAATATACCTTTTTATGATTTGCTGGGAATGCTAACAAGATTATTATTTGAAAATGCGGAGATATGAATACTTGCATTGTGACTTTCGTCTTAGTGCTCTAGTTCCAGGATAAAGAATCACATTTACGAGTATTTCTTGAACTTATATCTCCAAATTCGACCTTATGGTCTGTATGTATTTTTTATCGCAGCATGTTATGATAACAAACTAGCTTAAATAGAACTAAATTTATTCCTACAAATAAATTTATGAATTTAATGAAAACGCTTCATAAATCAGCTTTATTTTTATCTTGAGGAAAAATATAAGGTGAGGGAGATAAATTTTGTACGTCTATGAAAGTTTTAAAAGTTAATTTAGGTGACTACTTTCTTTTTTTTTTTATTCCATTCATTGATCACATGACTGAGTGAAAACTGTAACATTGTGCATAAGTTGATGTAAATACGCAATGAAATTTGCATAGCGCTGATATAAAACATTCACTGGGCTACCTTTTCTGCGTGGTAGTGTATTTCATTCAAAATATAAGAATAAAACTTTATAAGCTAAATTTATAAGCGGGCAGAATTTTCAACACCTACAAAATAATAAAGACATTTTTTTAGAATTAATAAGAAAATAGTATCAATTACTTGTGCCGATATTGGAATGAAATACTCTATAAGGCTTTAAATTTGATAGTACCGTATTACTTTCACTACATGAAATTTATCGTTATCAAGTATTTTGCCATCATTAAAGTTCTGTTAAAATTTGTTTTATTGCGCAAAATGTTGTTTTATATATGAAAATTTTCTGTACTATGTGAATAATAATTTTAAATGTTGTTCCTTTCTTTTTCGTTAGGTGAGTTGGCTCCATTACTTTAAGTCCATACTCAAGATTGATGTCAATGCAAGTGAACCCTTTATTATTAGTAACCTGAATTTTCTCAAAGAGGTTATCGGTTTGATCAACCAGACGGATAAAAGGTAAAATAAAAATCATATGATTTTAAGTTTTACAGAGTGCATGAAAAGTATAACATTGTATGAAAAGGTACAATGGACTGTAGTATGAAAAGGTGAAATGTTATATGAAAAGTACAATGGGCTGTAGAAACATTTTGCTATTTCAATTTTTCATGGAACAACTTTTAAAATACAGAAGTGTTCGTAACAGTAATTTGCACTTAAGTAATTTATTTCTAGCTTTAGACTCCACAGTAGTGACCTTTTTTTTACACAGTTTTAGAAATTTAGAGTTTTCAACTTCTTGAACTTGCAGTTTATTTAAGTGAATAAATTATGCATACCATTTCAGAATTAGTCCTGAGAAAAAAACCTTTTATTCGCATAAGCTTCGACATACCGAACTTGTTATATATAACTTGAAGTACTGAAATATAATAAATGATACAAAATGTATACATCACAGTTAAATTTCAAAACGAAAATAGATGCATGACTAATGATTCAGGGAAAAATACTGAATTTGTCTCCTTTTAAAATTATTTTATTTAAAATACCTTTCGCATTTTTGAGCCTTTCACAAAATCAAAAATTTATTTAAAAGTCACAAATTACTTTTATGCCTTTCATCTGTGATAAAATTACGTACACTGTGCACACATGCATATTTTGAATGAAAAATATATATATATATATATGCTGTTTCTCTATTTTACTAGCATATTTTTCATGTTTTGTTTTAATGCAACTTTTTTAGCTTTCGCTTAGAACATTATTCTTCCTTACAGACTTTTAATTTCGAGGAAAAGAGATATATTTATTTGTAATTTTTCATTTCTGTATTTTCGAAATGACTTCGTTGCTAATTATTTAAAAGGACATCGCCTATTCTTTGATTTCAAAGAATTGAGGCTAAATTTCTATAAAATCATGCACTAATTAATACAACTCCTTGTGATTATAGTCTTGCATGTGTAACCCGAAGATCTTTAGAATTTAATCTGAAGGAGCACCTTAACTGTATGAAACAAAGGAAGTAAAATGCTATCTTCATTTGCTTCCCATTATTGCGATAAAAATCATAATTTTTGATTTTCGGAACCCAAAAGTATTGCTCGTGCTACTTCGCCTTTGAGTTTGGATTTCCTAGAAACTTCAAAATCTTACTATATCCATACTTGTTAATGACATAATTTCCATCTCGTTCCTATCGAAGGCATGGGAAAAACCAAATCCTATATATTTTCTGTCGATGTAATATTTCAACTTCCACCTGAAGCACTATAACTTCTACTACATTTATCGCAATAACACTACTCTTATAATACCAAATTAATTCTAACAAATATGCAGTCACTTATATGTTCATCTAAAAGTTAACACATTTCTAAACTTCTAACTTTTACATTGAACTACATTTTGTTTAATATACAGGGAGTTTATAATTAATGTTCACCTGTTCTGAGCTGTTTACATCAGTAAGAATTTTATCAGAAAGCTGCAAAATTTCAGAATTGTCTTAAAGTTTCTCCATGCGAAATATAACACAAATACTAATTTTTACAATTACATGGTTTACTACGCATTACGAAACGGGCACAAAAATCATGCAGACCGTTTATCGCGCTGTTTCTTCTTACGATTACAGAAGCATTCCTCGCTAGCGTAATTCCTTTATCATAACAGTAATTCCTTAATAAAAGCTTTGAAGAGACTTGTAAAAGGCAGGCACAATTATTGCTAATGGATTATGGAAAATGACAGCTAAATGCGAACAAGTAATATCGTTGACCTTTGAGCTAGGAACAGGAAGAAGCGCATTGACACACGGACAGAGAAAGATGTAGACACGAAAATGAAAGAAGATAAGGCATAAAATTGCGTAGCCAGAACTAGTATGTGACGCATCGTGCAGGAGTTACTTCGGGCAGTATCCACAGTTTTCAAGACTGTCCGGGGCATCCTGTGTTGCAAACTTTTTCATTTCGTATAGTTATCATATATTACCTCTTAATCTGGTTATACATCAGGCCATATCACTATACTTTCTTGCTTGCTTTGGGACTGGTCTGTTATGGAGCTTACCCGATGATTAAATGATGTGTAATTTTCCGCTTGGATCTATGCAACTTGGTCTGCCTTGACAACGTCTGACAATCTCTACCTGATCTGCAACATACATAAAGAAAACATATCTTATCGCGAGCTCGACAATATAAGGCATACATTACGGCAGACTGTTGAACGTACTATTCAAGATTTCAGATAGTAACTAACAATACTAGCCATCACAATGAATTTTTTTTCTGTCCTAACACAAATAAGCACTATAGTTTAATGTCAAATGTTAAATGAAGCAGCAATACTTCTTCTAGTGATGAATTTTTAAATTATTTTTTCATTTGCTCTAAACTTCGTTTAACTTTCTAGGATTTAGTTAGAATTCGTCCAATTCTGTATTTAAAATATTTTCTCGTTACTGCTTTCACTAGTCGTTTGGACAACAAAGGTGGAAATCTGGTTTCAATATGATGATCGTACTCTGAATTTAACTCCCTAAGTTTAAATGATTTTTTGAGATCTCTCTTGAGAGATTTCCAATAAAAATACAAAATTACTCATTTGTCTTCACTGCCGATTTAATTGTTTAGTAGTTTAGTTAATCCTGAAGTCATGGCTATCAAAGCACGGATTTGGTATTTAAATAGTTAATGTCAGTAGAATTATAAATAAAATGGTTTTATTCCCCGTGCAGTGCAGGGCATGACGTATATTATGAGAAAGCTAAGCCGGAAAAACTGAAAATACAAGAGCACGTGCATTTAACATTTAATAAATAAATATCTCTTTTTGATTTCGAGAAAATACCAGAAAATGCTCGCGCATTTTAAAATCTTATATAAGCTGCATGAAAACCTCTCAAAGCGTATCAGAAGAATAATTTTTATGAAATTTTAAAAATTCCTTAGAATACATCCTACAAGAGATGGCACTCCCAGAGCTCCAGTCAACTAAAATGCTTTTCATCCTTACTAATAGATGGCGCCACACGAGCGCCTCATTTGTTTAAGTTTACTTATTCTACGGACGGAGGCCTGCCTCCGTCGCTAGTAATCTCTGAGTTCTAGCACAGCATGTGCACAAGTACTTCCATATTATTGGATGCAACTTACTAAGTGAGACATAGACATAGACATCTCAATTCGTTATTATTCAGTTAGCTGTTGTTTCAAGAGTTTGTTTAGAAAACTGCTCTTGTTGACTGTAGCGAGTTCGCGGATTAGCTTTCTCTAGCTGTTTTGAATTAAGTTCTCTTGAATGTTTGAGTAGTTAAAAGATAACTACTGTGAGATATTGTAATACTGCACGAATATCTGAGGAAATTTAAGCATTTTTGTTGTAATAATAATAAATTTTGTTCATTTTTCATCGGACTTGTGCATTCAATTCATAACGAACCGTACGCACGCAACAATACGTTTCGCCGTGTGTTTTAGTGTTTTCTCTTAAACTGAATGCTCTTTTTTTTTTAATCAACAAAGGAGTTCAGTAAGTATCTTACGACAATGAATGTTTGTAACTTAGCAACGCTAAGTAAAAATGGATTTCCTTCGTGTTCAACTTTAAATTTACCACAGCCTTTAAAGTCAGATAACTTACTTATACTCTTGAATTTAACTTTACTAGCGGCTATTAGTCTTGAATCTTGCTTTTCCATGGAACCGTTTTTCATGACCGTTTTACTTTTCAAATAAATGCCCCGAGATTGTTTAATCTATGTTTCGAATCAGTTGTACTGGTCATGATTGCCAGACTTTACTAGAAGCGCTTTTGAGAATATTATGTGATCGAAAGTTTTGTAGCTCTTGAAGAAATCAATTAACTTTTTCTGCTTATACGGGAGAATAGAATAATAAAAGAAAGAATAGTTAAAAAGTGCACAAGAAAAGGTTGATCTACTGTAACGTTAACGAAAGCTTAGAAATTTTTTTAAAAAAAGGAAGAAAAATACGTTTTGAGCAAAGTTAAAATCTGATCCCTTTTCAAAATTTATTTTTAGTCCAAAGAGCGTTAGCCCAGAAGAGCTTTTAATTTCGTTTTGACATTTTGCGTTGATTCACTATACGCGGTGAATCACTTTTTAAATTGTTGCTACCAAATACTAGATTATATTTAAAGAAATAAAATCATGAAGAATCTGCATAAATGTATGTTTCTCGCATTAAAATAAAACAACGGTACCTAAAGCCATCAAAATTTTTAAATATTTAAAGAAATTAAATAATGAAGAATCTGCATAAATGTATGTATGTTTCTTGCATTGTGATAAAACCACGGTACCTAGAGCCATCAAATTTTGAATGACTTCCGTCTCCACCCGAATGTGAGCATTTGGAAGCCTAAATTTGGAATTTTTTTATTATCTATTTCATATTTTGCAAAGGGGTGTACTCCAACTGCGCTAATGAAAATCCCCCCCGGGTCGAGCTATAGTCCAACTGCGCCAATCAAAACTTCTCCCTCCCCCCTGCTGCCTACAGGGTTACAATTTAACTTTTCGAAGCCAATTGTAGCCAAGAGGAAAATAAAAATAAATAAATAGAATTACATATCACAAGAACAAGTAAAAAATATCTAACAAGCAGGCTAATTACTTGAATAACAGTAATAAATGCGAGAGCTAACACAGAAAATAAAAGGTATTGGTAAACATACATATGAGCATTACAAACATCTTTCATTTATGATAATAATATCATAAATTAAATAATTATAAAGCATACCAATTATATTTTTTATAAATTACATCAATATAGTTAAGATGTCTGAACTAGACTAGAAAATTTATAGAGTTCACTGGCGTGCAAAAGATTATTCCATATCAAAGTGTGCTAAAAATGTTTTTTTGTTAATTAAAGTAGTCATGTAAATGTTTGCAGAAATTAATAGTTAAATTTAAAAAATGCTTAGCATGAAATCTATTATAACAACATTACTATGCGTTTGAACACTGACGTATAAATTGTAAATAAATTTAAATTATTATGCTAAGAAGTTTTTTCTAAAATTTCTAAAATTAGAAGAAAATTAGATAAACAGTACTGCAAATTAATATAATCAATCAAGCCTCTCAATAAATAAAAGCTTGTTTTTTTAACCAAAAACTAAAAATTTGGATGCAAAAGTTTGTGTAATATACTTGGAAATATCTGAACATATAATTAATTAGAAACGTACAATTAAATTAATAACAAGCTAATTAACAGTAACATTAAGCTTAATTTCATTCAATCTAAAACAAGCAATCGATCAGGAGCTTCGCATAACTGAAGTTTTATTGCTATTTTACGTAGATTTGCGTATCAAATAAAAGTTGCACTTGTGAAACAAGTGAATAATGTACTATAGTCAACAGGAATTAAAATACAGTGGTTTTAAAAATATAAACTATTTGGTTAGAAGGTTTGCAAAGTTGCCATGGCTAGAGAAATTGAATGATTATAGAAACTCGTAAAGTTAAGCGCTACAGTGTGAAAAAGAAAATTCTGGAATAAACATGTTAAGAAAATTAGATCGAGAAATAATCCTTAATTTATGATATCCAGATAAACTCTATGCTTTTGGAAAAATGTTACATATAATTTGCACCGAGGTATCAATCACCGAAACTGAGTAATTTATTTCCTTATTTTTTCTTATTAGAGGGATTTGTAAAAAGATATGCTAAGGTGAAAATTTTTGCAATATTTTTAAAGAATAAATTAAAAAAGTATTTTTACTCCATGAACTGAAATTTTTACGCTACATTTTTATAAAGTACAAAAAAAGAAAGAGCTGGGGAATCACTGGGACTAAAAACTCGGGTTTAGTGACCAATGTTTAGTGACTTTTCCACAAGACCTTTTGAAATTAGGCTGAACAATATATTAAAGGAAATAGAAGGTACAGCACACGTAGAACAAAAAAAGTGGGCTGAATTAGAGATTTACATGTTTGGTGAATGAGAATAAAATTACCTGTATGCCATTATGAAATATTAGGAATGTAGCATAAAAGCATGAGTGAAGAAGGCAATGGCAATCTAAATCATTGTAATCTAAATGTTATCATTATCAGTATCTTCTGTAATTTCAATACTGCTGAAAAATTATAAATGAATTATATTATAAATCACATGAACTCGTTGCATTATAAATACATCAGTTAGAGATATTTTAGCGTGATTTAGCGACCATCTTTGTTAACAAATAATTTCAAGTAATTAATTTTACAAATAATCAGCCTGAAACTAGTTGGAAAATAAGCTACATGCTGAAGATTAAGCTTTGCCGATGTGTTAGAAATATCTTCTGTTAACAAGAGTTGTGATGCAAGAATTTGTAAAAATTATCATTTAAATATAAATTGGCATAATACAATACAAAGTATATAAATTCCACATACACGAAACTTGAGTACAGTGCAAACAATATGTGAAAAAGGAATGGATTAAAAGGAAACTGCAAGGATGATATAAGGGTGCTTATTATTTTATTATTTATTTTTTTATAATTATGAAAATTCTGCTGCGCTCATAATTATTAATTTATTAATTAAATGGTATTAGAAATTAAATGTATGCCAAGCTATCAGGTGGAAAACAGAATAAATATTAAACGTTTCTAGTATTAAAAATATGGAATTGTAACACGTTAAAAACCTTAAAATAACTTCAATGATTAAAAATGGAAAGCTTAATACGGTATATATTGCAATAATATTGGGGAATTAGAACGACTTAAGAAGTCCAATTTTAGATTTAATAAAGATAATTTTATAATTCAATAGAACTGTTTACCTAAAATGGTAAATTTGAAAGTTAAACCATTTGCTATCTAGAAGATTTGTTAAGATTTATCTAGACAAGAAACTTCTTTAGGTGAGCTACAAATTCGATATTGATACGTTGATTGTATCAGTTTGTGTATGTCATTAATCTATCAATTTTACTATTCAAAACTGATATTATATATCAGCGATTAAAATCTAAACTTGGAAAGTTTTTATTCTTACAGAGAATAAAAAGATCTGTCTCATCATTCTTTAAGCTCATAAAATTTAGAATGAGTTAAAGACTAACCTTCCTCTCTCTCTCTTGGCAAAAAGCCATAACTTAAGCACTTGGCGTTCGCCAGACAAATTTTGCATAAATAATTAACGCTTTTAATTGGCCGGAAGTAGGAAATAAGAAGTGATAGTAAAGATTTAAAATAAAATAAACGTTAGTAAAACTTAAGATCCTTACAACTTAAGACATTTTCTTTTTAATTTCAGAGTACTGGCTAATTACATAATGTGGAGACTTGTCCATGAATCACTGCCTCTATTAGCCCCACGTTATAGCAGTACGAAAAAGCTGATGCCATGGGAGAAAATAATCACTCCTCGTTGGAGATATTGCATATCTGTCCTTAATGAAAGCTTGGGAATGGCTCTCCGTTTCAGTTATGTACGTCATTACATTGGAGACAAAACCTCTGTAAGTTATAAACCCATTTATAAATTAATACATGCATAAAATTTTAAAAATATGCGCACAAACTTCGTTTGGCTTATTAAAAAATGAAAGATTTTTATTTTAAAATGTATTTATTACCTGCTCACTTGCTAATTTTGTAAATCGCGAAACATCCGTAATCTAAGCAATGCACAAAATTTTCAGAGCCTACAGATATGCAATATAGCCTCATATAATTTAAGATATCCGACTACTTTCTAATCGTCAATCTTGCTGAAATTTTTGAAAAATTATACATTATTTTATTTTAGAACTTATACATTAAGCTTCCCAAAACTATTTTTATTTCGTCACTCCGGTCTTTAGAAGCAGAATTATAGTCGCTTTTGTTCTGAGTCGTGAACCGGAAGTTTCTGTTTAAGAACCCGGAAGAAAATGTCTAAAGGCACACAGAGAACTCTAAATAACTTTAAAATGATAACTTTTTATTAGAATACTTTTGGTGATGTTCAAAAAGTTGATTTTATACATATTTGTTTGTTATTAAGTGCTAGGAAATAAGATTGATTTTCATACTCGGCAACCTTTTGTTTTCCTTCTCTGCGTGTTTGCATTACATTATAGCTATTTTTTTGAAAAACTTGATTTTTTTTTATCTCTTTTGTTGCGAAAAAACGTTAACTTAAAACATTATTGTAGTAATTTTATGAAACTTTCCACAAATATTCTATGAAATATTGTGAACTAAATGGACTAAATGTTCAGGTTTATATACATATCTAAAAATTTTTCAGACAATTTTGTAAATAAAAACACAGAAATTTCTCGGAAAACAGCTAGTGCATGTACTCAAACAGGTACATCTAATAGACATTTTACTTTGTCGCTTAGATTTTAGTCCATTTAATTCGTTGTAGCTTAATAAATATAAGCGACAAAAATAAAAGAAAAATATTGGTAAATATTTTTGTGAGAACGTATCTAGTAACCCTAAAATTTAACATGTTTTTAACCCAAATGCAGCAAAAAACAAAAAATGTAAGTTGTTAATATCTTAATTACCCATTTCTGTCATTTTAAGTAGTACTCAAATACTGTGCACTAATACTGTGCACCAATAATAGATTTATTTGTACTATTTTCCCAAATTTGAGTGTCGATCATATTCGATAGCTTAAAAGACAAATCATTTGGAGTGTCTTAGTTTTTTACAATATTATTTTCAATTAATTAAAAGAGCGGGATTCCTCTGATATTGTAGCTAGCTATTTTAAATTTTATAGAGCAATAGCAGATTAAATGAAAAAAGAGACATAGTAAGAAAATATTAATATTTTTGAAAATTAATATCTTGAAATGAATAAAAATAAATCTAGAAAATAACGTGTGAGGTTTATCTATTTATAATAGTTCATTTTAAGTTGAAAGATTTTCCTATTACTCTCTTTTCACGAATGCTTTTCATGCCAGAATGTAAATGAGATAGCGGCGGTTTATTCAAATTAAGGTAGAAGGAAGTGCTATGTAATCAAGAGGTTCGGATGTTAGTTTTAGAGCGTGTTCTGCCTATTTCAAGCCACGTTATGTTGTGATTATTAACTACTTGAGTTAGCGGCGTTGAGTGCTTCCAGTCATTTGGCTTGACTCGCTGATTTACTACAACCCAGAGCCCTTCCTGCACGTTAGAGAATTCTGTGAGCCGTTAGGCTAATCCACCACACTTTGAAATTATTTTTGTTACGTATTTCTGTTAAGCTAGAAGTGTTTGGCTTAGTGTAAACCCAAGCTGGGAAACTGTTAATTTTATGTTTGAATAAAAGGTCTTACACACCCTTCTTCTGACTGCTGTTTTGTTTCACAAGGTTAGAAGATAATTCTTCAATAGTCCTTTTAAAGTCTATAGTTTATGTTCCCAGAGAGACATAGACCTTATAAACTGTATTAATCTAAAGAATTATACAGTTGCAAAATCTACTTTTTTGAAACAAAGATATTTAAGTTGTTACATTAAACTAGAAGCTTTTCTTATTTATTGATAAAATATTCTACCTTTTAGAATTTATGTTTATATGCATGCTTATGTTAGTTTAATCGTAAAGACTATTAATAGGAGCAAATTCTGGAACTAATTCAAATGAAAATAACAGAAAGTAGTGTATGCGTTTATGCATTTTCTACATCAAGTCAAAACTAAGTAAATAGTTCTGATTGATGGTCTGCGTAGCTGTAACTTCATCCGGCCCTTATACGCCTTCCAGTAATTTCAAGAAATATTAGAGATTTCTCGGTGCCCGGATGAACATTATAAAAGACCGTAGGGAGCACCTGTTCTCAGTTGTTAATTCAGAGTCGATTACGAAGTATTGCGATATCTCCCTGTTAGCTTCGCCTTTTATTGCTTTCCCATTGCATTGTGTTTACTTGCTTAGTAATTTGAAGTGTAGTTACTGATTGTACTCTGGGATACTGTGAAGAGCTGTGCGAGTGTTTTTGTGTAAAGTTCCAGAACAGTGAAGTGTTTCTTTTGTTAAAATAAATTTTATCAAGCTATCGTCAATTCTGTGTGCATTTAATCTATTACAAATCCGTATGCATGAAACAACATAAATAGTGCAATTTTTTTCTTTTATTTCAGGCTTTTACTAAGGTACTAAATTTGACGTCATATATTCGTGACGCATACAAAACTATACTGCAGCAGCTTTCTCCTTATATCTACACATCTACTATGCAAGAAGCAATAGGAAAGGTTTTCTTACATTTTCTGCTTTTATTTATATTTTGAGTAACTGTAATACTTCATGAGGATAATCTTGAAGAATAGACAATTCAATTCAAGGATATTAAAAAAGGAGATGTGGAAAAATCCTTTTAATATATTAGTAACCATTTTCCGAAAAATAATATTTGCTAAAGTGATCTTTTTGATGAGGTGTCATTGGTAAAAAGATACATTACTGGTGAAAAAATTAAATGTTGGTTGTCTGCAAATGTGGAAACGGACAAAAAATGGACGGGGTTATTCCTTCATTTTAAACAAATAATATTCATTGTTTTGAAATAAAAATATTCCTTGTTTTGAAATAATAATAATTCTTCACGCGCTCTCCCTTCCAGGAACAAATGCAGCACAAGACGTGTTTTTTCTAGTATCAATAAAATATGGACAATTGAAAAAACGCAGTTGAGCATTAAAACTTTAAAATCTGTATTAAGCGTAAAATGTAATTTGACCAATTCATATGAGAAATTTCACGACGTTGTAATAAATGATCCGAATCTATTGTAAAGTGTTCACTAGGATAAAAAATATGACCGTGAAAGAAAACCATAAATGCTTTTAAATAAAATTTAAATTAATTAAAAAAACATAATATTCAAATTATAGTTTTTTACAAATATTTTTATAGTTACCAATAGTTAGTAATAAATATATTTTTGTATATAGATAAGTAAATGAATGTATACAATAAAATACATTTTTTGAATTATTGGTCTGCTTTTATAACTAAATTACAATAATTAAATTAAATTTCATTCCATTTGTCCCGCTTTGTCTCAATGAAAATGTGGTCACTTTATTTTTACACTAACCAATTCGAAAATAATTTGCAACAGAGGACCTTGTATTAATCAACACAAGCGAAGGAATAACAAAATAACTCGTACATAATTAAATAAACATTATGTTGTACATTTTAACTGAAATTTGCTTTTATAAACTAATCAAACTCTGGAAACATATTCAACGCCATCATTTTAGATCAATATTACCATTTTGTGGACAATGTTTCTGTATATTACCTTACACATACACAGATTTTCGTCATTAAATAACTTGTTTTATTAAAGGATAATTTCATATAGAAATTGTTTAACGGCACGGACTTCTTGTAACTTGGAGAAACGGCTTTTATTCTAGAACGTTTAAATTGATCTTAGACCTTAAAAATAAAATCAGAATCATCTTTATTAAAGTTATTCTATAAATCTAGCAGATATAATATTTATGTTAAGTTAAAGTTTTGGCTTGGTTTCTAAAATAAAATTACTTGACAGTGCCTTTATTGCGTAAATTAAAATTATTAAAAAAATAATCTAAGAAATTTCAAAATATGTGAATAATGATTAAGGAAATACAAATCTGAGAAATTTTCGAAAGTGTCTTAAGCATTCATTGCTTAAGACACTTTCGAAATTAAAATTTTTGAAATTTAAATGTTTGTGTTGTTTGTTTCAAATTAAATATGCATATTCTCTTCTTTTCATTTAATTTGTTATATTTCATAAATGGCATAACTTCCGACAAAACTTGCTCTTGCATCAGCAACACCCAGAGTGTAGTCGAGATCCGCCAGCAAGTCAAGAGAAAACTCTTTTTATGTAACAAAAAATTTTCTTTTCTTATTGATAACTACGTACGTCTACCTGTAACTAGGAATTAAATTACAAGTATTAGTTTGTTAATTGATAAACGGAAATTTCCAAATGTTTAAATTTTTTGGACTATGTTACCTTGATTTTTCAGATGAGGACAGGTTTCATTTTATTTACTATGAATAGTTGTACTGAGAGGTAAGAATTTAAAGTACTTAATTGTGGTTCCGTGTAGACAGACTATCAGACGACTTATCGCCCCGTCTTGGTGAAATAATTGTAACTCAGATGAAAGATTGAAATAAACTTTTTTATTATAACTTTAATTTAAGAGATGCACAGCTTGTGCCGTACAAAATCAGTTATCACTGTTTGCGAGATTTAAGCTAATTAAAGTAAGATTTAAGTAAATACCGCTTGGATGTCACAAATCATAATAAAAGCTTTGGCTCGGGCTTCTAAGTACGTGAGAAATATGGCTAGCTAAAGCCTAAAGCATTCCAGTATTATCTTTCTTTCTTTCAGAAAACTCCTTCTTCGCCTTTTCTTATACAATAAGTATATGCATGTAGATCGCGAAAGATAAAAATGTTTGGAGAAGAGTTTTAAAGAATGTGATGGAGTGATTACAAAAACTGAATATTGATAGACGGCTTGCGACTTTAAAAGTAAGAAGCACGAAAGTAGAAAGTCAGACTACTTCAATTATTTTCCAATACTTTTGTGGGGTTCCAGCCTTTTATCTAACAACTAAATGTAGAGGAACCTAGTGAACGGCTAAGCAAATAATCGCTTAAGTTCAGTAATAGAAACGTAAACTCGAGAAGGGTTAATTACCCTTTATTGCTCAAAATAAGAATGAACAGTTGGCCCCTTTCTTAGGGCATACAGCAAAGCTTCCTCTTGGGCTTGAACTCAAAATAGTAATAAATAAGAACTTAACAAATGCTTAACTAAAGAGATATATCCGAAGCTATCACACATCTAAGAAGTTGGCCCTTAAATATCGAATTTAGCTAGCGAAGCTATCAAGGGCCTGTAATACGGAGCGTAGTAACAGCTTAAAGAGACGTGGCGAAAGGGCAAAATGGGCTTTAGTCAGAAACTCTGAGGCTGTCTCTCGAAGTCAGTGGAACTTCGACTTAAATACTGCTATAACTTATTTGCATTAAACGCGATTCTAACACATTCTGGTAGGAAATTGTAAGCTGAAATTAAAAAAAGATAGGAAAGGATCTTTAAAATAACTGTTAAAAATTTAGGATAAACTATAAACTTTAATCAAAATGGAGGATGGAAACGTTAATCAGAAAATTATTTCCATGGATGAAAATGCTTTGCACAGACAATCAAAATGCTATAATTACTGATAAAGTTGTATCTTAAACTTTGTATGAGTTATAAAACAGATTTCGAAACAGCATCTTAAAAGTTGCAATTCAGCTTTGAAGCATTTGTTGGAAATCGGCATTTGTGAAAACTCGACTCATTTTCACTGGTGAAAAAAGTTACCTAGTAACTCTTACATTTGGTTTACAGGAAAAAATTCCCATTTTAGGGTTGTTTTTCTCCCCTAAACGATGTTTAATACAAAAATTACAGAAGTTACAAATTAGAAATTCCTTTATAAGATGACTTGTATGAAATGAAAATTAAATGTATTTTTCAAACAATTAGCACATATGGAAACTGCCGAACGGTTATATATTTTGTTATTATTTTAAGGCTTATATGGTATTTAATTTATTTCTTGAATTGAAACCCATTATTTTAAAATTGCCTATGACCAGTGATCATGAGATATGTAGTTGCATTCTCTCTGAAACATCCTGTATATCTAACAACTTGCTAATCGTGATATCTAACAACTTGCCAATCGTGATATCTAACAACTTGCCTTTTCATAGATTTAACAGTTAAAACGCACATTTTGATGATTTGTGCTTTAAATAGTACAGCAGTCTAATCAGAAACGCACATGTATACTTTGGGGAAAAAAAAAAAAAAAAAAAAAAAAAAAAAAAAAGACAGTTCTATATTTCTGGTTCTATTGAGCCGATTAACAGAATTCAAATTGCGTTTTTCCTGTCTCAAAAGAGCGACTTAGGATAGATATTAGATTTATAAATAGCATTGTTCTAACATAGGCATTTTTATACAAAATCGGACTTTTTTTGAAATAGCATATCAGTTTTCTCCATATTTCAATTCTACGACTCAAATTATGCCTAGATATTAAATTTTTAAAATTTGGTGCTAAGTATACGGAGAAATTCAAAAATTTATCTCGTTTTCGCCAAAAATAATTCACTTGGCAAACTTCTTAATATGTGGCAATCAATTTTCCTTTCTCTGCCATTATGCTGGAGAGGAAAAAAAGGCACCTCGTTCCTATCTTTTTATATTGTGCATGAGGGGAAAAAAGTCACTTTGTTTCTACTTTCAAATAATTTTAGCAAAGTGTCTAAAGCACATTTTATGTTTCATAGCTTTCAACAAATATGCCAAATTTCAAAACGCACCAAAATGTAAATTCACGTATATCTTCGGAAATTTTGAATAAAAAACTCCAATTTTTTGCAGGTATCCTTAGAAATACATCTACTTTAAGATGATGATAAAACTTTTATAGGTTATAAATCAAATTTGTTTTCGAAAAATTTATAAAAATGACTTCAAATTTCAAAAATAAATTATACAAAATGAGTGAATTTTATTTGGAATGATCCTAAATTTCAAAATATGAAAGGAAGAATCAAATACGTTTAATAAAAAAGAGAAATTAATAATATATATCAAATTCAATTAACATTGGGGAGTTAAAATTTTGAGAGTTAATTTTTTAAAAACTATTTGTGCGATTTTTACAAAACTTGGTAGTTTGGTGTAATTTGAGTCGTAGCATGAAAATATGGAAAACCATTGGTATGTTATTTCAGAAAAAGTCAAAATACCTATATTAGAATAATGCTATATAAAAATCTAATACATATCCTAAGTCGCGCTTTCGAGACATGAAAAACGCAAGTTGAATTTCGTCAATCGACTCAGTAGAGCGGGAGATATAGAACTGTACCCCCCTTTTTTTTTTCAACACTAGATTCATTAAAAGGTTTCCAAAATTAAAAGTCACTAATGTTTTACATTTTGCAGGCTGATAGTGTAAGATTTGACATTTTATATAAGAAAGAACTTCTGAATGAAACTTACGTCTCTCAAATGTACGAAAACGTAAGTAATTTATATTTATTAATGTGGTATTTTCGAATATTTATTTATTTAGTTAGTTAAAGATGAGGTCGTTTATCACAGTAGTTTGATTCCTTTTACAGTTATCTGTCATCAACTTAAATCACTTCGAAAATGTACTGAGTATTCGCAGGTGGTCAACCGATAGATATTTGTCTCAGCTTCGGAGCTCTACGAAAATTGATGAGTATGTAGTATTTCAACTAATAAATTTATTTCTTTTGCACTTTTATTCAAGTGAAATAGAAAAGTGCTGTGAGGCAGAAAGGTTTGCATTTAATGCAGACTTATACTGAACAGTCTTTTATTTCAAATAAAAGATCAATTAAACGTTTTTAGAGAATTTTATTAAAAATGAATTAATTTCTAAAAACTGTCATTGCAAATGGCTACTGAATAACTACAACCATCCTACTAATGACTTTATTGCTAGTCTTCTAGATACAAATCTCACTTGAAATAATCAAGCTGTTTATTCGTATTATTAGCAAAAATTCTGCTCAAATGAAATAAAAGCTTTTTTAAGATATAAAGATTTTCTTTTAACATCTAACTAACGCGTCTTAAAACTTTGTAAAACCAGTAACTCGTAGAAAGCACTCAGAATTTGTCAAAATAATTCATTGCAGTGCTATAATAATAGCAAGATAAATTTATCATTGAAAGAACATGTACCTGCACTCAGGTAAATGTCTTATTAATAATGAAACCAACAAGGATAGTAAGATATCTTTTTCAGCACAAAAGTATGTACAATCACATGTTAATAAACTACTCAATGAAGGATCTTACATCATTCTAAAAAGACGTTTTTGGCCTACATTTTATCGAACTTTTACCTTCGTCCCATTTACTAACGGAATTTGTCAACAGATTCTTACTACTCCTCATTTCGAACGACTGGGCAATGAAAGCTTCCTACGATTTTTCACTAAAGTACGCTCCCAAAACCTTAACTGTTCTAGCCCTTCAGTATCTGAGCAGTAAAATCACTAAAGAATGGTAGTTCGAATCCCAACCAAACAGCTGGTACATAAGAATTTTTGTGGTTTCCCATGCGTCTAATATTATTATGAGCCAGTTTAAGTTTCCTTTAAAATGTCATCGAAAGCATCGAAATCGAATTTCCTTTAAAATGTCCTCGAAAGTTTCGCTTAGGCATATAAGCTTTGAGTGCTAAACAATTTTAGTCCAGTCCCTAACTCTTTATTACGGATTCTTTATTTACACAATCGCTGATTAGAACATTTTTGTACTAGCTTCTTTTAAATGAATATTTCCTTGATTTGAAACATTTTGTGTGATTAAAAGTCCATGTCAGTGAGCAACGATTGAGAAAATAAAGTACTGGTAAAGTCTTCATGAACACTCAGTATAACGTACTTCTAAAAGTTGAACTCAACATTTATCTTTCCTGAGTAGATTTATTTGTATGCTCTTAATAAATTTTTAGTTGTCTCACTGCCACTACGCTCTCGCTCTACTCATCTGTATAAACAAATAATATTTGCCTTTTTTATATTCGTTTAAGGTGTTATTCAATTATGCTCTAGCCTGCCATTCTAAAGAAAGAACTTATTATAGCGAAAAGTATTACTGTTGTGGTTATTATACTACTATCATCTATATAAGACATAAATAATTTTCAAGCCTTAATCCCCTTCAAGTGTTTTTTTTAACTAAGAAAACTTGAGTTCCTATCATATGTTTGCTCTTCATCTTTAAACCTGGCCTTCTTCTAAGTTTTTCTTAAAATTTAAATTCTACTTTTCTTTAAACTTCTCAATAAAATTAATTTTCTGTTGTTAAAGATGAAGTAACCAGTCTTGATGAAGTATTTGTAAAATTTTGTGTGAATGTTGTTACTGGGCATGTAGTAAAAACTCAAAGATATTTAAAATTCAGGACAAATAGACATAAGAGTGTAGAGTTCCTCATTATTTTTGTCTAAAGTAAATGCCGAGAAACCTAGTGAACTTGTTAGCGGCTTAACGCTGAGTTCAAGTAACAAAAGTCGTAGACTCAAGAAGGGTTAACTACCCTTTATTTCACTCAAATATATCACTCGAAATAAGATGAACAGTTGGCTCCTTTCTCGGGCTTACAACAAAGCCTCCACTCGGGCTTGAACTCAAAATAAGTACTAAATTAGAACTAACTAAAAGAGACTTAACCGAAGCTAACGCAAATCTAACGTAGTTATCCCTTAATTTAAACTAGCCAGCGAATATCAAAAGGTACGTAATAATATGGTCGAGCGTAACAACTTTTAGAGAGACTTAGTCCCAAGGCAAACATGCACTACCTGGAATTACTAGTTCTATCTGGCGAAGTAAGTTGAACCTTCCTTGAATACTAGGTCTAACTCATTTGCATTTAAAGCAATTCTAAAAACTCATTCTGGTAGGGAGTTGTAAGTGTAAACAAGAATCGATAGTAAAGTACATTGAATTATAAAATTAAAATATAACTTACAAGTGTGCTAATTAGAAGGAATTAGGAACATGCACTATAATTTTCCATTATTGAGTTAAAAGCTATAATTTAAAGTTTTAGAAACTAGAACTAATGACTCGCCCTAATTTGCCCCTAAAATTGAAGTTCTTAGAAGTTTCCTATATTTTATTTCTTGCTTCGCATTTTCGGCAATGAAGTAGCTTCGGCGCGATTTCTGTTAAAATCCTGTTTCAAGCTCAACTGTTTTCTTGTATTCAAGCACTCTGAATTTGGTGTGCAACTCTTACAGTAGACCAAGAACCTAGTGTATTGGTTACGGAGTACCATTGTAAAACATTACAATAACTTCCACACCGAAATGAAATTCAAACAAATAAGAGACAAGCATTAGGTAAAAGGATGAGAGAAACATCGTTAGGGATTAAATGATAGATAAAAGGATAAGACAAGGACTTCTACTGCAAGGACTTGCAGTAAAAGGATGTCACTTCTGCTGAAGAAGTTTGTCGTATGCAACGATTTAGTAGAGTTTGACTCAGCTCCGGTGAAAATGAGCTAAGGTATCATTTGTTTTTTATTTGTACCAATTTTTATATTGAATTCCTTTATTTATTTACTACTGAACTGAATAGTGTTATTTTCCTTACAGTATCGTAAATTACTTTAATAGCAATTTCTAAATTACTGAAATTACTTATAAATAATCATTTTAAAATTTCTGTTGGTTTCAATTTTTTTAAGGGGAAAAGATAATTCTATTTTTTTTATTATTATAAGTCATAAATGGAAATTGAAAGGCTTATAGAAGATCCCTTTTATCTTTAACATTTAGAAACATTAAAGCTCTTCTAAAAACTTCTAACTCGCGATAAACAAACACATTCATAATTGGAAGTTCTTTCATTATAAGAAGCTTTTAACCAAGTGGAATGAGGAAAATATTTCATCTTGTAATGCTGAGGTCACCGAAACGTTCTTTCCTTTTATTTATCATAGATTGCATTCCGAGTTTTTCCTCTCAATTAATTTTAAAATTTCTCAGTTTTTATCTGGTCTCGGTAAATTTGCAAGTTACCTGTTTCGTTTTACCCAAGGATTAACCAATTTATGTGATTGTTCAAAAAGAGTACCTCAGGATGTGGAATATTTGATTTTCTCATGCATTTGATGGCCCTAGATTATGCTTGCAGAATGATTTGAAAAATGTTCGGAGTGGCTTGGCCAGTGAACTTATCTGTTTTCGTGAATCTTATCTGTTATCTGTTTCGTGTTCCAGACTGCTGTTCTCTGCTTTTTTTCTTTTTATTTATGCATGCAACTTTTAATGTTTTAGTTAACTTACTTCTGTAAGCCCCGTGTTCTACATCTGTGGTGCACGGGGGAGTTTGTATGCTTTCAAATAAAAAAATACATTTATGTAAAAGAATTGCATAAATATCATTGAAAATGAAAATCGTATTCCTTTATACGAATTAAATAAGTGCATCTTTATATAATGACAGTTCTGACTGAAGACACCCTTTTTGTAAAAATGCACAAATTTAAGATCCTATGTAGTTCATCTGCAATGAAAGCTTTAATTATTCATTTGCACATTATTCCATTTACTATTTCAAAATATCTTCAATATGCAAAATTAACTATAAAACTAAAAATTCAAACTTACACGACCTATTAAACTTTCAAACATTTGGCAGTCTCTTACAATAACTTAGCAATGAACATCTTGATTGACTGAGCAACTGACGATTCCATCTTAGATAATTAGTCTCATCTTTTCAGAGAAAACCACATGACTAATGCAAAGAAATTTTGCTTTATAAAAGATGATTAGGATGGTCTATTATATTACCCTAATGGGCATTAAAACTGCAGCATCAGGAATCAGAAGGAAAAGGGGAAAAAAGGGGGTTACACTCGAGAGACTACAGTACATCTGGAAGTTCACTCGCCAGGTATCGATCCCGGGATGACCTGTCAGAGACTACAGTACATAGAGTAAACACTAACTTTCAGGAATTTTTGTGGATAATTCTGCAAACTGATATGTTTACATCATATGAGTAATTCAGCAAAAGACGTTAAATTTGCATAATAAAGCATTGTAAGAGATGAAAATAATTAGCAGTGCAAAGCGTATTCAAATAATGGAGACTTATAACGCCTCTTAAAATCGATGTTGAAGACAGAACAGGTTTTCGGAACAGAAATCATATTTCCTCCTTGTTTATTTAACTGGAAATAAAATGCCTCGAATTAAAAGATAGAATGCCTAACAGCATGCGTCCGAATTCAAGGGAGAAAAATTGATTGCATACTTTGACTTAGGATTACTATTGCTCACTTTGGTCAAAATCGACCACTGGCATCCAGTATGAAATCAACGGTATGACGGACGGAAAGGCATGCAAGCTTACAATGATACTAATGCTCCAATACCGCAAAGAATAGATATCTTGTGAAAATGGCCCATACCCAACTATACAGTCACATGCACCCAAGCGTGAGAAATGTTATATGTACACATGTACCTGCACATATGTTGAGACATCAAACCTTGAGTGTCTCAAACTGTTTGCATGGTAGCAATTGCATTGCTTAGCAGTACAGAATATGCATCTGCCGTTTCAGCTGTGTCCTGAACGACGCATATGGAGACATGAATTGCGTGACATCTTCATCTGAGGTAATCCTATTTCTATGCACACATAGCGCCACCGTGAAGAGCGCTTACGCATCGACAAAGCGGTCCATCACCGAGATTTATGTCATAAATTTCGGTTGAATATGAATCCGTCTGGAGTACGGTACGCATTTATGGAATGTAACTAGTCAGCGTTGCTTTTCTGACGCGCTAAACAGTTGCGGTTGTCTCGTATTTTCATCAGCATTCGTGCCAGCTTGGAAGTAATTCAACGTTCAGCTTGGAACGTTCAGTGCGACGAACACACGTCGCACTGAATGTTTGAACACTCCCTTGGCACGCAGGAAACAGGTGACAAAACGTAACAATATCATTACGTTAGCAAAGCATTTATACTCATATTTTTCTTGCTTGCCGTTATCCAGAGCAAATCGTCCTTTAGAAAATATGAAAGTGTCTTGAGCGCGGTGATGTGACATTTTCGCACGTGATATTGGGAATACATGAAATTTTCTAACAGCAGTGGGTAATCAGAAACAACAAGTAGCCTTTTCGCAGCCGATTAGAAACAATCATTCAGTCCGTGGATTACTCACGTAACTTTTTTAAGAACTGTAAGGTATAAATTCCTCTGTATAAATTAGATACAATGAAGTTCACTAAACACTACTTGGAGTGGAAAGCAAGTTATTGTTCCATTTGTTAAGAAGGTTGAATTGCACAACTTGTGCATACAATATAAACCTTGATATTTGCGAGTATTAGATAACAGAAAGTTGAATTCCCAAATTTTTTGGACTACAAACGCGAGATCATTGGACTTTCATCTTAGGCCAATATTTAGGACGAAATGTAAAATTCCTTACAAATTTCCGATTCATTATAGAGCTGTTCTAAATGTTGGCTATCAAGATCGCCCAACTTGAAATTTCTTGAACAAATATCAGGCATGCAGAGAAGAAGCTTAATTTCTCTTTTATGAAATTGAATAATTCTTCTTAATGAATTCCAATGAATATCTTTTTTATTGTATTATTTTATTTCTTTGCCTAACGTTTTTAATATGAATATATACGTACCATGAGTTAGGCACATGATATTCTACTTTTAACAGCTTGTGGAATTTTATAAAAGAGGAAATCTTCATGTAATTAACATCATGTTTTCTCTGCTATTCCCTTTTTAGTTTTCAAACAAAAGCTTCAGTTTCGAATTAATAAATGACAAATAAAATTTACGATATGAGGAGACTGCAACAATTTGATTTGTATCTATAAGTATATATATATATATATATATATAAAGATATATGTTTTTTTTTAGCTTGAAGCAACACGCAATCTCGATTCCCATGGAACGCTTTTATAATTCTGAAAAAAATGAAATTGGTGAATATTTCTTCATTGAAATTTTTTTATGTAAAACTCACTAATATCTGAATTATGAAACCTTAGTTTTAATAGTACAAGCTTACAAAATATATAATCTGCTTGAATGCATCTGCAACTAAAAGTAATAAACGGAATGAAAGTAATTTTTATACAGACTATGGAAGACTATATGTAGATAAATACTGAAAGGAAAACATTATACTGAAAGTCACTGATGGGGAAGATTTTGGAACTGCTGGAACCGAAAATGGGTCAATAATTACAATGAATGTGCTGAAAATAGATTTTACAAAATTCCATTAATGTTTCAGTAATAAAAAATCCACATGAGTGACATATAGTACGAAATTCATAGAACATAATATTTTATTAATCAACATTACGGGCCCTTGGATTACTCACAAAATTGTCAACAATTACAACATCCAAACTGACAATGACTTAAATTATCAGTTTGGCTGTTTTAACAGCCTCTCTTTTATTCTTTTTCACAGAATTCTTTGCAAGGCCACCAGTATACAGCCATTATACGCCAACTTTCTGAATTCCTTTCTAATCTAAAGGCTCAGAGTCAGCTTGTGAAACCAGCTCTTAAAAAAAAATTCTAGGATGGACAGTGGTTTTTCTGATGATTTTAATGTGAAATATATATTTTTAGCAAAAAATTTCAATTTTTTTTATTCAATATCCCTAAAATGCAAACGGTTGAGAACTTAAGAATTACAGAAGAGTTAAACCTTATGAATTATATATTTTCGTACTCTTATTTGCAAACATCCTAAAATCAAGAGAAATATGTCATAAATTTTGTATTTATTTTAAAATGAAACGTGGTTTCAGAATGAGACCACTACCCGTTTAGAGATAAAATTTGCGTACGTTTTCTTTCTGCTGGGATGTAACATTATGTGTTTGTAACACAAATGTTGGACTGAGTTATTCGTTTTAGAAGATTTTTTATTTATGTAACCTAAAAAATAAATAAAAAGAGCATTCGATTCTTTGTCTTTTAACAAATTTCCCTAACGATAACTGTGTTTTAATGTGGCTCCTCCTCCTTCTTTTTTTTTTGATCCAAAGGACAATTTGTCCAAAAGGACTATTAATTTCGTTTTGGCATTTTGGGTTGTTTCACTTTTCAAATTGTTGCTACCAAATATTATCTCCCTGTATTATATTTAAAGAAATTAAATAATGAAGAATCTGCATAAATGTATGTATGCTTCTCGCATTGTGATAAAATAACAGTATTTAGAGACATCAAACTTTGAATAACGTAATCCTCGTGTGAATATGGGCATCTGGAAGCCCAAATTTGAAATTTGGAATTTGTTTTATTAACGATTTCCTATTTTGTAAAACTTTAACAAATTTTTTGATTAACAAACTCAAGGATTTCAAAGCGAGCTATGGCAACGATGTAAAGAAAAAACACTTTATCTCTAGCGTGTGAGACTGTGTATCAGAAATTCTAAAGATATGCTCACTTTAAAATTATCTTGCGATATTGCTCTTGAAGTTAAGTTAATTTTATGGTTTAAGTGCAAAAAAGTGAGAATAACATGATATTTAATAAATAAAGGTATCACACAAAATGTTAAATAAAGCCCCTTTGGATGTAATTTAAAATAAAATCTGAAAACTTTCAGATTTTTGTTTGTTTATTACAAACAGAAAGAAAGTTTTGTTACTTCAAATTAGTTGATAAGCTATCAACAAAGCTAATTAAACGCAAATTTCATAAAAAATGGCACGAAAATCTCTTAATATCTACAGGGGACTCTGCGCTATTTGAAGAACTTCCGTTTGTCGGATCAGTTATCTCTGCTATTGGATCTCGAAAAAGCTCAGATGATAGCGGAAAGAAAAGAAAAAGACAGATCGGTAATAAACTTCCTTGCCCACAAATTGTTGTGCAGAATAACAAAAATATTAGTATTAAATCATTTTCATCATCTCAAAATTTTATATGAAATAAGAAAAGTAAAAAGGTAGGACATTTTTTTTCGGGGAGGGGGGGTAAGTATTGTGATATCTTACATTCTGTATAAATTACTGACAATGGCAAACGGGAATTCAGAAACATGAAAGTATAATGTTCTAGATAAATTTGTGGTATTTGCGAGCTAGAATACTTGAGAACTGTGTAGCGAAGTGTGTACTTGAGAACTTGAGTGTGTACTTGAAGTGTGTACTCGAAGTGTGTGCTTGAATACTTGAGAACTGTGTAGCGCAGAGTTCATTAACGTAAATGATAGTCCAAAGAAGGATTAAATTACCTTTTTATTCAACTCAAGTAGGATTCTCAGATGGCCTCCTCTGGGGCTTACAGGAAGTCTCGACTTGGACTTTAACTTAAGAGAGGAAATAACAAACTAGTCTAATGCTAACTAAACTAAGAACCAGCTGAAGCTGCATAGAAAAACTAATAGAGATGACCCTTATTTAAAGCTCACCGGCGAATACTAGCAGGCACGTAACAACATGGCCGAACGTACTAAGATTGCACTTAAAGCAACGACGTCGCCAGAAGGCAGAACACACTTACTAAGAACTCTAAGCTCTTCTTCTGAAGTGGATCGTGGATCTTCTGAAGCGGATATAAGAGGTCTTCGACACCTGAGGGCCTTTACCAATTCATTTCACATTTCCCCTTGGGTTTAAAAGTTGAAAAATCTTTATTCCAGACAGAGTGGAAAGTCTTCCGCGCCTTTGCGCAGTAGTCTCTTTATTGTAGTTACGTAAACATATGAAAATTTTAATTTGTCATGAAAAGTCCTATCACATATTTTAAGCAATTAAAAGTATTTCAGGTTTATATTTAATAATATACTAATAATTCTTGAATACACTGTTCCTACTGAAGTGACCTAGACTTCTACTTAAATACTCGTTCTACCTCATTTACATAAAACAATCTTGAAAACTCATTCTGGCAGGAATTGTAGGGTGGACAATAAGAATGTAAAGGACAGCTTATTCAAAAATAAAAATAACTGTTAGAAAATTAAATAAACCTCTACAAAATTTTCAGAACACATATATCCTAAAATGTTTGATAATAATTGCAAAAGAATGTCTTTTTCCGTAGTAAGGAAAACCTATATCAACCAATCCTAAATAAGCAAAGAGATCTAAAGCTCCATATGACTAAAGATTATGTACTGCATAAAGCTTACATATGAGTAAAGTGCTCATTCGCATATGTTTTTCCCCCCACCCACAGATGTGCCAAAGCGAAATCCGTTACAGCAGGTACAACGCTTACCATTTAGAAAGGTCCACTATACAGCTATCAGAAGGGTAAAATATGTTTACGAAAATTTCAGTATTTGTAGAATTATATAAGTAGGTGAATAATAATTATTATCTTGGCTCAATTCTGCACATAATTTTTGTTGTATACACCTAGAACAAATTTTTTAAATTTAACATTTTTAGCCTTTATTTAATACATAATTTAGGTTCAGTATTGAAGCATAAGAAATAAATATTCGGGCGAAATAAAATTAGAATAAACTGGTTATTTTCAATTATATTTTAATTGTTTGAGTTAATTTAGATAAATTTTAAGTTTTTATTAATGTTTACCATAGAAAACATGAAGAAGAATTTTAATTAAAAGTATAAATTTGTTGTAAAATCATATAATTTTAAATTATTTTATGTTCCACACGGGCAGTAGGTTAGGCTCCTAAATCACCCTCACTCCCCTGGAAAACATTTTTCTTGTTATATTACACATTTATAAAGATCATAGATCCCTTTTAACAATTAACTTCATTAAATATTAAAAAAAATTAAATATGCCCAAGCACAAATCAGCAGGCAGTGAAAGAACTTCCACCTCAAAATAGGGTGGAAGGATGGGGACTTTAAATTCTCTTTCCGGAGAAGAAAAGGCCTTCACGTGGCTTTTCATGTCGTAGCAAGTAATAATGCCCCTTTTGGAACATGGACCTTTATAAGGTCCATGTTTTGGACGAGTCTACGTGTTTTGGCAGAATGCCAATCAAGGTTGCGTTTGAGACGGTCGAACTATACCAAGGTTTGCAAACTTCCTAGCGTGCACGCGATAATAGCGCCGAAATCTCTCCTATCGGCCACTTTTGGCACTAAAACTGCTTTTTGCCCCATGCATTCCACAGTCTGTATATGAAATTTAATTTCATTCCATTAGTATTTTTAGCTGCAGATGGCTTCGTGCAAAGAAAGTTTTTAATACCTACCCTGTATAATAACAGACTGATTAAGTATTAAGTATTAAGACTGATTAGGAAGACTGATTAAGTTATTTTGGCCAAAATTCAAAAACTAGTCATTGCCGTCAAAAGTAACATCATTAATAAGAAACTGAACTCTTCAACAACAAAGAAAAATAGGATATTCTTATATTTTTTTATGAACTGAAATGTATTTCAATAGTTAAAACTCCACCTACAGAGCCTGAATTTTTTAAATATGATTATTTATTTGTTTTACAGGTGACATGTGTTCCTTCAAAATGTATAGGACAAATATCTGTATATTAACGTTTGATTATATTATTATTTTAAGATATATTTCACGTAAAATAATGTTAGAAATTGATGCCCAGATGGTATAGTGCTTAGGGAAGCCGACTGCGATACCAAAGGGTCCGGAGAAGGTATGATTGTAACTGTCCATCTCTTCATAGGAGGTTAAGGTGGCCCACCTATTAAATGTCTCCAGTAATAAAGTGACCATCTCCTCTGGCCTTAGTAATGGCCAATCCGAAATTGACTGGCAGGCCCTCAGCTTCATAATTTTCAAAATCTTGATGAGTTTAGTCTTTTGATATTTTTGTGAGTACCGTGAATATAACATGGGTCATTAAATTCAATTCCCAAAAGAAATGCACTTTTACTAAAATTATAAATTTAAAATAACTGAATTAAAATTAAAACTAATGAAACATATCCTGCAGTTTCGCTTCTAATCTATTGAATAAAAGCTGAGTGTTTAAAGCACTGTATTTAACAACTGATTATTGAAAACAATCTATAACTCTCTCTCCAAATAATCTTTAATTTTCAGTTTCGGAACTGGTTTCTAGACAGTTTTGGAAACATCTTTGAATAAACATAACATCTTTGAATAAACATAAAATCATTGATTAACAAGATAATATTGCATTAGAGAGACAAAAATTTGATTGTGATGTACTCCAGAGATTTTTCAATGTTTATAAATTTTTGTCATCTATTTAAATCTTTGATAATGGCTTTTTATTTCGAGATGTTATCAAATGCAAATCTTAGTTCACATAATTTGTTAACGAATATAGTAATTTGAAAGCCGACTGTGATATGATTTCAAAATAAAATTTCACACTTCATTGTTTGCTTACACAATATTTGGTGATAATTTTACTGTGCAATATGTAATTATGTCTGAGATACAGTTAAAAAACCTCTTGAGTTTTTAATAAAGTCGATGTAATTGTTTTCTGATTCACTAATAAAATTACAAAGCACTAAACTAACTTTTCATTAAATAATACTTTGGTTTTATATATTTTTTGTGCTATTATTTACGAAAAAACCTTCTTTCTTACAGTTTTAAACGCCGAATTATTTCAAGCTCCATTTTTCAGATCGGATGTACAAAAGTAAGTGATTAGTTTGTATCATAAATTTCTTTAAATTGAAATACAACTGAAATTTACTAACATCAAAATTATTTCATGTACAATAAACCATAAAACGCTGAAAGCATCTCCGCATTAATTCGCACTTGTATTTCAGTTACCTGAATTTCGGAGGCATCGGTTCCATGATTGGTCGTGAGTTTGCACGTGCATTCGATAAGAGAGGTAAAGTATTATTTAAGTTAAAATATCATCGGGTACATTATCAGCAAGATACGCCACATATTGTGATCTCTGAAAATTATGAAAAAAACTGCAAATTATACTTATAAAACTTTAAGAGTATTATGATTTCCAACTAGTATATGATTATGGTTTGTTTTGGTTTGGTTTATTAGATTATGACAAAGCATTCGAGGGCTATCTGCCTTAAGGGAGGGTTGCCTTCGTGGAGGACGTTTTAAGGGAAACTGTCTCGTATACACGTTACACATGGGGAAAACCACGAAAACACACATGCAGCCAGCCCGTTCGCGGGATTCGAACCTCGGACCGAACTACCAGTGTTCAGCGACGTTACCGCTCGGCCGCTGGTGGTCCCAATATATGATTATGCTTTTTCAGTCATTAAGTTTGTCAAAGCAGGAAATATGAAAAATGGGCTATGCCCTCCATTCGGATTCGAACTTTACGCTCCTCCTGACAGCTAGATGAAAGTACTTCCAATTACACACCGAAAATACGCCGTCTCCGGTCAACCGGCATAATTGTTAGCGGCGCTTACTGCCGTACCGAAGGGCCCTGGCTCGAACCCCGCAGAAGACATGGATGCTTGTAAATGTATAGTGTCTGTGCGGCATGGAGGCACTCTAAATATGCGGCGAGCCGATTATCCTATCGAGAGGTTGAAGTAGGGGAAGAGGTGTGTGAGCGAGGTGCTCTCCTTCAGAATTGGGAGCGGAACTGAGCAAAATCGTACTGTCACCTGTATGGTGCTCAAGGCTGCTGCCAACGGCAGGCACAATCTTGCACTCCTTACCACGATGAATTTCGCGGGCTTGTTCTGAAGGTACCGTCAGACCAGTACGATATGTCACAACACAGTTACGCGGTAAATATCTGAAAAATTAAAACTACGAAGTATATGCATTGATTTGTATTTTCGTAAAAAGAAAGCTCAACAGAAACACCAATTAATCATAGATAGCAAATTAAAATAATAAGTTTTAGAGAATTATAGCTTTTCAAATTTAACCAGAGTTTCCTTCAATGTTTTAAATTAAAGGTTTGATTTCTGCATATTCCTAAAGTATTAGCGCAAATAAAATTTACACGTCAGTAAAATAAAAAACTGTGTTTACATGTGAAGTCTTTCTCAGAACACAAACATCGGGATATTACTTCAATGGATGTGTAGGTAGTGAATTTTGGAGATAGCTTAAGAATCTGAAGATAGTTGCATAGATAAATCAGATGACATGACAGAGAAGAAAAACTTTCAGAAGTGGTCTTTCATTCAATTTAGTTTCATTTCATAATAAACAAGCCTTAATGAGCATAAACGGGTTCACATATCATCATTATGGCCGCAGTGTACACTCCCCATTTATTTAACTATTTACATCTTAGACAATGGACAAAGCACAGCGATGCTAACCACATATTGGCAGCAGCAAGCGAAGTGGGAAAAAAGGCTGCGCAATTAATAGCAGCGATTCTTTGTTAGAATTTTTATCTTTGATTGAATAAGAGCTGTCGCACTGCGCTGGGATTACATAAGGCAAGCATGAAACGGGTTAATTTTGAAAGATACAGTCCAAAACATTATTATAAACAATTTATACCTTCAGGACATTGCATATTGCCCTTTTCTGTCCTAAAAATAGTAATTGTTTAAAATATATCAGTTTAAACTGCGTCGTTTCGAAATTATAATCAGTTTCTTCCGATCTTACATAACGCTGCAATTTAGATATCTTTTATTGGATCTCTGAATAAGATTTCAGTTGAAAACAACACTTTTTAGGCTTTCTTCAGAGTGCGTCACTTTCCTGCCTATTTATTTGCATTAAAGTAACATAACGCCGATCGCTTCTATTTATCCTCCATTGTACTAAAATGTGTTCACTTCCCATAGTTGTGGGTGCATATATCGCCCAATTTATTTGAGACGAGTTAAGGGAACTACATTTAAATAAAGTTTTTTTCCACTCTATGCATCTGCTACTACCAGTTTTGCCAAAGGAGATTAGTTTTATACATCATGGTGCATTAAAACATAAAGCTTTAAAAATTTTTAATTAATTAAATTAACCAAAATTAAATTCAGTTAATTTCAGTTTTAAAGGTAACGTGACAATGTTCAAGAAAATATTAAAATGAAATTTGAAGTCATTATTCGCTGAGATATGAAGATTTAAAGAAAATAATTTTTAACTGTGCATGCGTGAATTACATCCACTTTTTTCTTTCGTAATTTGCTAGTTAACTATTAATAAGGGTAATTTATATAAAACTTCTGCGAGAATAGACAACTGCAAGTTCAGAAAAAATATGGATAAAAGAGTGAGCTATATTGTAGTTATTTCCTAGAACTAGCTCGAATGTGGCATTAGAGCATTACACACGTGTTTAGATTTATTTCAGGAAATGTAATATGTCGGGAGATTTAAAATTAAGCGAAGCAGATCTTTATTTTGGCGTTAAATAAAATTTTGTCGATTTCGAAGGCGATAAGACACAGGTCCCTCTTCTTCAGGAGTCAAAAACATTCTGTAAAATGGATTTCCAATTTTTGCTGTTAGCCGAAAATTATCGTCCGAGTTGAACGATGTGTTCACACTCTCTGAAATAAGGTGGCTGAGGCAAAGAACATGTATGAATGACACAATACATATTCTTTGGCTGAGGATACTTGACTTTGCTATGTCATCTCGAACCGGGTGAGGATTGGAGATGAAGAAAAATGGGGGTTGTGACCGTTTGTCAGGTAGGCATCAGCAAGTCATCTGGTTGGTTTAGGTAACTCAAGGTGTATTCTGAGATTAAAAAATTACTTACAAATACAGAAAGTACAGATTACAATTATATTGATGCATGATGCATAGATATGTTTAATGAATAAGTTGAGAACTATTTATAGTACACAACTGTGATATTTATAAAATTTAAGCTTAAAGCACAAAGCTACATAATATGCTTAAAAGGGCGAAAATGAACAACTCAGTAAATTTATGATGCGTCTTCCAGGAGTATTGTGCGCATTTGCAATATAATATTCGAACAATTTTGGCCAACTGAGCAAAGCAGACCGCTGACTACACTGCAGTGACTCGCGCTAACAAAGAATCTAGGTCAATTAAGGTCGACTAGGATGGATTAGCGAAGATCGGATGCCAGAAACTGTACTGTACATAACGAAACCAGACCCGTAAATGTAGTTTTTGAACTAATTTGACCTTAAAATGATGCAGGTAAATTTTAGCAAATACCGGACTCAGTTAAACCACCGCCTGGGGGTCGACTAGGAGCAATACTAGCATTCTGGCTAGGTCAATGTTGAGACAGACTCGACTTTTGGAGAAAAATTAAGTCTTCACAGTGACTAGAGCCATTATTTATTTGTCGGTAGGTTCAAGCTCGGCCGGGATCATATGGTACTGCTTATCTGCCCTTTGGTTGCGGGGACGCTCCATGGTCAGATATCGAAGCTATCTTTGGGGGTTTGGCTCTCTTGGTCAAAACTGGTGGACGGTCTTTGCTCTTTGTGGTGCATGCCGTCCACCTCTGACTTGTGTGCTTATAACTCAGACTGTGTGAAACATTAAAGTCCCCCTGGGTTGACCGGGGGAATTATGCCTCCTCGGATCGCCTCTAGGGGTTGAGGCGTTTAACTGTGTAAGGCAGCGTCGAGCTAGCCAGGTCTGGGTGCCTCTTCCTCTTAGTGTACTGAATTAAGCCCTCATAGCTAATTACTCATAGCTACAAAAAGATAAGTTGCAATGAGTCTCTAATAGCCAACGTATCCTATTATAACTGACTGAATTTAGAAAGTAGACCAAAAAGAGGAAGTCAATGGGATGACATTCGGCCATTGCAACAAATACGCTTTCCAGGGGATCAGAGATGGCCACTCCCATGGATACAGCCGGCGCTACTGAATTTGTCTTCTTGTGCGAAACTATTTTTTGGCACCCTTCCCTGCGAATCAAAAATTGCGAAATTATGATAGAACGTTTCACTAAAGAAGCTTTCTCACTTTATTATTCTCTGAGGACCTCTCTGCATTTGGCGCTCTGAGCGGTCACCTTATGTCGCCCTCCCCCTTTTAAGACCGTTGTTGTTCACGAAGTTAAATATGCATTCTCTGCAGCATTCATAAAGATTTAATTTCCATAATGCCGCCTTTATATTCTGGTTTGCTTTATTTCACTTTTATTTTCATGTTTTTATTCATGTATTTTTTTCACTGTTTATTTTCATGGAAGAGAAAAATGAATAACCTTGGTTAGGATTTTTAGGAATTGAATGAATAACCTTGAAATGCACGTACAGAAAACATCAATCTGAGTAACTGGCTATCCCTGCCAAGAAACACACTTCTAGGATAAAATTTGTCAAAACGAGTTAAAAAATTTCGAAGTCATACTCTAAAAAGGAAGGAGAGACACGTGAATAATACAGTACCTGCTTTTGACGGGCCTAACCTACGTACTGAAATGCGACTGTTTATCAACCGATGCGTCATAAATAAGCCAGTTTAAATGATACAGCTTCTTAATCTTATAAAGTTTTATTTATTTTTATTAACCAGTTATTTTGTGTTCATTAGCTTTTCTGTTTTCTCGCTTTCCGTTTTCCTGACAGGATGTAAATTTTAGTTCGCGCGGGTTCAAATGAAGTAGAAAGAGACATTATTTAAAGGAAGGCTTTTTAGACTGTTGAATGAGAGCTTGTTCCGCCTGGAAGCCAAGTTACTCGTTGAATCTCTTGATAACAGTCTGCCTGTAGCGTTCTGATATTATCACTATTAGGTTTGTCACGCTGGTATTTAAGTTTGAGCCAACTTGCGCGTTACTCATTTTATGTAGCCTTTGGTTACTTACAACTTAGCATAATTTTAAACTGAGTTCATTACCTTTTGAGTTACGGCATAAATGCTGCTGTTTCTGTAAACACAAGAAGTGCCTTCTGTTAAATTACCTGAGTTTGATGAAAAAACGTCTTTTACACCCTTCTTGTTTTCTCTGTCTTCTTACTAAACATGTAGAGACATTAGGCTATTTTTGGAAGCAAAACACGTGAAAAAAGAGCAATGCCCTCGACAGGACTCGAACCACGGGCCTCTCGAATACGCGTTGTGCTGACCATTACACCACTGAAAGTATGCTAAGAAGGCGAGAGAAATCCTTATAAACATAGCGATAATTCAATAATCAGACGACTGTTGTGCTTGTCAGGTTGGCGATGATTTATATTTGACATAAATCTACTTTTAGCATTTTCTTAAATTTTAACTAAACATGACTTTATGCACAGAAATATTTGCATAAGTTTAAAGAGTATAATTGAAATGACAAAGTCAAGCATCTTTAAAATCAATTGATCCTAACACCTTAGCAAAATTATAACAGCCTCACCGACTAAAACCCAAACTCAAACTCGGGCGTAACCAACCTACCGAAGTTCTCCAGACAACTGTAACCTTTTAACTGCTCGTCTGTCTCTCCTGCTGCTTCTTTACTGTGATAAGGAGGCAGCTTATTGGCTGACAGCGGAGAGATACATGACAATAACATTTTATGTTAATTACCCAGCTATTATGATTTTAATCTGTACTATAACGTCTTTCCGTATTCCTCACCAGAACGCAAATTAGCTTTTACAGCATTTTAGTTGAGAGTTTTGAATCTAGAGAAAACGAGAGTTTCTAGCACTCACTTCGCGCTTCTAGAATTTCGCCATCGCTATCTTAAAGTGATTATTCTATTCTGGCTTTTGCATTCTCTCGCTGGCCGATACTTTGAACTTAGGTGCCGGTAAAATTTGTTGAACAGGCTTATAGCTTATTTATTTGACTGTGTGCTACTTTATCAACGTTAAAAATTATTTGACTGTTATTGCTTAGTTTACATCATCACGAGAGGATTGCAGACTGGTTTGACTGTAGCACACGTTGTGTCTTTTATGTTAAAAGTTCGGATCAAATAAAAAAGGTTATTTAAACCTTGTCAAGACTCAGTCATAATATTTCAGACATAACTATTACCCGCTAACTTCTCTAGCAGGGTCTTCAGAACTTAGCTCCGGCTTCCAGATCAATAGCTTTTCGCTTTGTGTAAATACTAGAATGGTTTAGTAAACTAGATCTATTATAAGGTATTCAGATACACATCAACAAAAGATGAGGAGCATTACTTTTGCTTTAATGTCATTAACAGCATCGTTGAAAAACTCGTGAAACGATGATAAACATAAAGTTATCCGAGGAGACATATTCTATCTGCAATTTCTTACAATTGGTATTTAAAGTATTAATTCGATGTATGAGCATATTTTTTGCAAAGAATTTGTAAACTATTGTTAAGATCAGCTTATTTCAAAATAAAAATTAAATGCTATTTATATCTATACACTTATTATTATTTTCAATGATGGTATTACTTTGACAGGGCGACAAGGCTGGTGGAGCGACATATCAGGCAGCGACAATATTGAAGACAGGGGTCAGTGTATTATACAGCAATACAACGACTACATAATGAATAGTACTGAGTATAATGATGATGCGGAGCTAATTATAGTAAGATGCGTTTCCGATCGTTCTTTCTCTTTCCCCTCCTCTCTCTCTCTCTCTCTCTCTACATATAAATGCACTCTATAACGTAAAAAGTGACGGACCAAGAAGGATTTATCCGAATGGTACTAAATTGCGTATGTCCATATCATACGAAATTGCATATGCAAATTCTTGTGAAATTTCGAAACCCAAAAACTTGCAAGCATCGAAACTATCGAATCCATATGCAACCATCGAAACTGCATATGCAAACGATTAACATTTTGCGAGGAATTACTGATTAGCTGGAGCCCCAGCGCACTGCAACAGAGCATCGGAATGGTGTGGAAAACAGAGGATATTCAAATGTTAAAGTAAAAGCCATGCAAATGTGGTTCCGTTGACCCACGTAGACTGCACCAGTGCCTCGCAGACAGGTTTGCGAACAATATGGGCAAACGTCACCACTAGAGAGAGGATGTGCAATTGGGCTAAGGAAAGGAGGGTGGTCAAATCATAAGATCTGTAGACATTTAGGTCGCAACAGTGTTACCATTCGACGATGTTACAAGAATGATGAACCAAAAACATACAGAGCGTCAAGAATGTAGTGGTTGACCGAGAATAACGTCAGAAAGATAGAAGACAGAGCGATGGTTGGATCGACGCTCACAGTCCATCACCAATAAAAAATGTAACCGAAATGTCAGTGACAGCAATGGCCATTGATAGGCAATTTAGCGAACGGGAACTGAGGTCACGGTGGCCTTGCGCCGACTGCTCTCGCCCTTGAAAACATCCCTGATTTTCAATTGTCCCCTAAGCCTTCATTTTAATTTGGGTATTTTTCTTTTCTCTTTTAAGAATAATACGTTTTTTTTTTTAATCTCTAAACTGCATCATTTCAAAATTAATAGCCATGATATGACTCAGGACGTAAAGTTCGTGACGCAGTTAACTTACATAAGGCTTCAGCCATATTAAAGCTTTAAAATTATCCAACCTCATGCAGTTATTTATCTTCCTTTTTCTAAGCATTTTTAGATTTTTTCATAAAAAATATCAATAAAACTTTATAGAAATGATTAGTTTATTAATAATCTTTGCTAATTAACTATATAAATTTAAAATTCACATTAAATTCTATAAGTTGCATTAATTTTGTAGCCATTTTCAATTTTTAAATGCTTTAGTTTCCTTCTTATTTTTTCAGCAAAAATTTATTGGTTCATTCAAAAATATGAAATATAGAAGTAAAAGAATCTCTCTTTCCTTCTTGCTTTCCCAAATTATTATGCAAACTTGCATTTACAACTTTTAAAACTTGAAAACCCATGTGTGCGATGTTATCCTCATGCGATTATTTGTACGGGCTTTATTTTTTACCACGATATTTTCGACTACGATGTTTTGAACTGCGAAATTTTTGAACCGCTTTATTATAAACTACGATATTTTATACCACAGTGTTTTAGAGCTGCGACGTTTTCTCTTTGCTTCCTTTTCTCCCACGATGTTTTGTACCACGACGTTTTCGCCCTGCGTTGTTGTCTTCGCGGCGTTTTCGTCCGCGATGTTTTCAGCGGACCGTCTGCTTCAGTTTCTACCTAAAGTTGCTAACGCCTTTATCGGACCAGTTTATTTTTGTTGGGTTAAAACTGTGTGGCAACCAAAATAAAAAGGAGTATTTAAACTGGCCCTTGACAGCAAGTACTACTATATCCATCTCCATGTTCGAATCAGCATTCTAAATTTTTCTACGTGTGTGCGTACGAACTTGATAACGTACACTCGTTGAAGGTAGCTAATAATTGAGAAATGTTAAAAATGCGTAATGAATATCAAATGAATGACCGAATGAATAATATTTCTTTTTTATTTTCTTCTCAAGAAATTTTAACAAACCAACATAAATATTTGGGTGCTGTAGCACCAGTTTTGGGTGAGTTAAATTAGTACCATTATATTTTTTTAATAAAATTTTGGAGAGAGAAAACGTTAGAAGGTCTTGTTAATAGGAGAAGCAAGTGCGTTATCCAGTAGGGAGGCTTAGTTAAAAAAAGATATGGGTTTTTGTTTTCAACTTAGACTTTCATTTCCGGATTAGTTACGTCATTTAATGTTATGAAAAGGAGGGAGAAAGCAAATATCCAGATTAATTTAAATCCATTGAAATTTAGAGAAGTGTATACAATTATATATTTCAAAGAAGTTATTTTTGTCGAACTGAATTTGTTGATCCTGACAGTTGTGAAAATAAGGAATTTCACAGCAAAATTTATTTTGCAAGTTTGAAAAATTTGCCGTCAAGAAAAATTTAATTATTAAGTAATTGGTTTTATTAAAAAAATCTGCTGCAATTATGTTTAAAATTATCTTATCATGAAATAACTTGCATTCATTTTTTTCCAAGTTTTTATGCTATATATGTTATAATAAACGTAATTTTGAATTTTTGAATATTATGTAAATTATTGAATTTTTGAATATTATGTAAATTAAGACACAATAACACGCCGAACAAATACTAATTCAGAAGTCAAACAAAAAAATCAGCGTTATATTTTCAAATTTCCACAGGACTAATATTTTGAAAATATAACGGTGATTTTTGTTATTTGACTTCTGAATTAGTATATGTAAATATCAGGGCAAATTCTAATTGCTTTTATGAAGAAAAAATTTTTATGAGTATGCGTATGTAACCATGTATCTGAAATTTACCTTTCTAAATCCCATTTAAATGGTTTTCCAAAAATACTAAAAATTCAATTTTTATTCTAATATTATCACAATAATATCCAGTTTCTATAAATAACATATTTTAACTATTTAATATAATTAGCTTGGAAACGACCAGGCCATTTACAATAGAATTTTTCATGTTATTCTCTGCTGAATCTATCATAATTATTTAATACTCTGTACTTTTTGAGAAACTAAAAAATATATATGTTTATTGTCTTAAATTTTGAATGCCAATGAAATTGCAACTATTGCTTTCTTCTTTCTTCTTTCCTTTCTTTCTTTCTTTTTTCCCTTTTTTTCATAATTATATTTATTGTATGTCAGTAAATACAAATTGTTTAGAGCTAAAATGTTAACATCATTTTTTAGATGCTAATGACAATAATTTTTTCCGAAATTCATGTCATTTGAGGATTTGAATGCATCAGCTAGAATATTATACATATTAATTGATATTATTTATATTAAATCATTTACATCTTTCGCAGATCAATGAGAGCGAGACACGAAATAATATTCTAACTGATATTTATGGTCTCAAAGCAGCCTACATGGTAAGAAATGTATTTGAATTTTATGAAATAATGATTTGCTTTCAAATCAAATTATTAAAAAACTAAAAACTTTAATCAAATGTAAAACAAAAAGGAAGAGATCCAGTGCACTGTGTATAGCGCTGAGATTAACGTATAAAACGAAAGTTCAAAAATTACATTATAAAGACATTCAACTGAAATAGACTTAAATAACCATATGCTTATTATTTAATTGCTTTCAATTTAATTACAAATTATTGTATCTGTGCAGAAGATCATACTACAATTATTTTCTTTGTCTGTTGATAGGATCATGTCTAAAATTATATTTTGAATAAAACCCATTATTTAAAATCTGCATTAGTCTAATCTTTTATTCCCCTAATTCAAAATTTTACATTGGCATGTTAGTCTTCCATTTAGATAATCAAAATTTTAAGGAGAAATAGAAAGAAAAGATGGTCTTCCTTTCGCATACTAATCAAAATCATGAGTTATTTAATAGAATTCCCAGCAAAAAATGTTCAAGAGTTTATGAAAAATGAGCTAACCACAGCATGTTCATGCTCGAAATTCACATTAAACTTCTAAATAATAATGAATTATTATGAATTAATGAATTTCTATGAATGGATATTCAAAATTCTTGTACAGAAATTTTTTGCTTTTTTCTATTTATTATTGTAATTAGAAAAAGCTGCTATTCTAGATTTCGTCTTTCGAGACGTATGGAATAATCTAAAAATGCATTTATCACTGTACATTACACAAAATGAATATGCATTGAGTTTTTTTACGGAGAATGGGGGCTGAAATGTTTTCCGAATTATTACAACATTAAAATGTTTTCTACATATATTGGTTGTTACCTTTTATTAATTCAGTTTGCTTCAGTAATGTTTTACGTTTTCTTTCTCTATTTGTAATTAAGAGTGCGAATTGAAAGTTATAACGATAATGGAATATCGCGCTTAAAGGGATAAAATTTTTAAATAAAAGAATAAAGTTCGCAATTAGAAACAATGGTAAACTACTCCGATGAATGAAACAAAACAGGCATCGGCAACTTTGGGGTCAAATTGGTTGGGGGTCAAAATGTATATATTAAAAAGACGTTTCGGGTCAGTAGTGTTTTCATATTAAAAATCTTTTATATTGAATTATAAGATAAATTTTACTGAGAATATAATTTTGTTTAAAACTTTAAACATGTAATTTAAAATTATAATTCTGATTGTTATTAAAAACAACATGACACAATGAATTTCATTTTTCTCATCAGTATTAAGGGCTTCTCTGATGCTGAAGTTGTCACGTTTCGATTAGTCAAGTCTAGCTTATAGTCAGGCATATGAAATTTTATTTCGTGCACAAACTCCAACTTTCGAAAGTATTAAAATTGCTATTAACGATATTTTCCTTTTCATGCTGCCCTTTTAACAAGGAAAAGGAACGCTATTCTTTCATTTTATGTCTGTTTCAAGGGATATTAGTTTCGAATAAAACCTCTTCCATTCTTCGTGCATTTTTAAAACTGTGGGGTTATTTCCGTGGAGTCGTCGGCTGAAATTATTATAATAATTCATTATGTCTGATAAGAATAAAAATCTGAAAAATAATTCTTTACCATTCAGTCCGAGATCATGTTCACTTGTTTCGTAAAGAAATATTTGTATCTCATCCCAACTCTCTACAAAACTATTAAGAATTTTGCCTCAACCTGACCATCATATTTCTGAATGTAACAGCTAACCTCCAGATCTCGATTCAATTTCGGTCAAAAAGGCTTCGAAGCGCCTGCGTACTAATGCTTATCGTACTGCTATCATATTTACGATCTTAGCACTAGGTCTTTAAGTAGCCTTTTCAAATAAATTTTCTTCGTGTATTATACAACGATAAAAGTGAGCTGCCGGTTCATTTTACGTCAGTTCATAAATCTAGCAGTTTTTTCTCATATAGCTGGAGCTTTATTTTTTAAATCCAATACTTTCCCATTTTTGAAATTAGTAAACTCTTGTACTTGATAAAAAATGTCAATGACTTTAGTCATGTCATACATAGTAGAAACATGGTTGCAAAGTTCTTCATTTACTCTCGAATATTTACTCATACGTATCTAATAACAATTGAAGTCTGCCCATAGCATTTATATCGGTACTTTAATCAATGCTAATTATACTACTAGATAACAAATAATTTTTGACCTGCTCATCAATACTTGGGGCGATATCTCCAAAGCGACTCTAGCTAATAATGGTATTTCTTTAATTCTCTTAATAATTTATTTTTTTAATTTTCGATGCCATTAAATAAGTTCTAAACAATTTATGAATGGATTTTTCGAAAATTCGCCGTTTGTAAACCGTTTTCCGTTGATATCAATGCTACGAGCTGCAACAAAGCTGGCAGATGTAACGTAATTGTGGCTGGTCACAGAACTCTTAAACAATTTATTATATTTCCAAAATTTAATTCACGGTTAGCAGTGCATTCACATGATTCTTTGTTTCGCATTCCACTCAGGTTTTTATGTTTTAAAGAAAAGTGTCATTCAGTCTTGAAAGTTCTGTCGGTAATTATATCTGTGCATAAAGTACATATTAATTTGTCACCGCTTTCAGTACATCCATACATTTCTTTTCGTGTCTTGAAATAATTTTCCTTTTTCATTTTGTTTCTCCATGGTAATAACTTGTTTTAAATTACGATAATTATTTCATCGCACAATTATAATTGCGTCACTATTCTTATGCTACTAAACAAGTGCTACGAATAAGAGTACGCTGACAAAACTCAAAGAATGACACCAATGTTGGCAGATTATGAGCCGACGCTGCCAAAGTTATCGATTTCTCCTTGAAATCATGTTACAATTTTTATTTTAAAAAATTAAAATGCATGTTCGTTGCTGCAACTTTGTAATCAAACAAAAATGTTATTGTTATTATTTATATTCAGTTTACTTTTTATGTGTTTTTCAAGTGTTTGTTTCATACTTATTTTAAGCCCAGAGGGGCTATTAATCTCCAAATGGCATTTTGCATCGAATGTTTAAAATAAAAGGCTGTATCACTTTTCAAATTTTTGCCACCAAATATTATCGCCCTGTATTATACTTCGAAAGATTAAATAATGAAGGATTTACATGAACATAGGTATGTTTCTCGCATTGTGAAAAAACAATGGTACTTAGTGTCATCAAATTTTGAATAACAGTCCTCCACTCGAACATGGGGAACCCAAATTTGTAATTTCGATTTTTTTTTTACTTAATTTCACATTTTTGTAAAACTTTAATCAATTTTTCATTAAAAAACTCAATATTTCAAAGCCAGCAGTGGCAAAACTGTAGGGAATAAAACATTTTTATCTCCAGCGCGCCAGGAAATTGTCTCACGAAAATTCTACAGATATGCTGTTTTTAAATAACTTTAGTCCAAATGCTCTCAAAACGTATATGTGTTTCTAATGAATACGCTATTTGGGGTGATATGAAAAACCCCAAATAGGCGTATTCATTACAAACACATATACGTTTTGAGAGCATTTGGACTAAAGATATTTAAAAACAGCATATCTGTAGAATTTTCGTGAGACAGTTTTATTTATTTTTTTTTACTTTTATTATATGTTTTGTTTTATTTTCATAATTTAGTAGATTCGTAGATAGGTTACTTGAAATTATAAAATAGGTCACTCGGTGAGCAGCAGGTCAAAAGTTGCCGAACCCTAGAATAAAAGCATCAATTATAAAAAAACAATTTTCTTCCTTTTTTTAAGTAACGAAACCGAATCACATTTTTCTGTTTAAAAAGCTTCAGTGGAAATCACAAAGCAGCTTTTGTCATAACGTTGATGCTGTAGAAAAGAATGCAAATTAAGAAAAGGATTTCCAAAGGCAAAACTCATTTAATCCTCTTGTGAAGGGAAAGGGCAAAGCAAGCCGAGTTATTTGAGTTATACTTCAACGAAAAACTTCGTCGATGAATAAATACGTCCTCCCCCACTTTATCTGCTTGATCTCATTTAAATCTGCAGTTAATTAATCACTGTTCATCAATCACTCATTGCTCTGTATGAGGACTCTATTCTTTATGAGTACTTATAAATCTGTCTATCGCTTGCAGCTGTTGATAAAAGGCATCAAGGAAATAAACATTATTTTTAGTATTTGGCCCTGATGAAGGACGGCATATGTGACTGCTTTACTAGTAAATATTACTCATAGCTGTCTCACCTTGTAAACCTCTACATTCAGTTTTAATTTGTAAAATGCTTTCAAGACTTAACCTCTTCGCGACGGGCGAATCATATATGCATTTCGTACGGACGCATGTGAGGCCCGGGCGGTTCACCCGTGCACTCCTGGAGAACTGGCCAAGTGGACGGGCAGTGCAGATATGCATTTAAGCTGAAACAATTTTTAATAGCCACTAGATGGCACTATGTGCCATTACATTTAAACTGAACGTAGTTTAGTATTCTGACCTTCAGATGTTTATATTCTGGCTGTTTTTGGTATTTGCTTGTCAGCTTGTGGCTGGGGAGGGGGGGAAATCGTAATGTAAACAAACGCAGGGCTCTTAAATCGCTGCGTGCTAATGAAAACATTCTCGTATCTGATTTATCCAATTCCTTTTTTATTCTATTTTTTTCCTCTACTTTGTAGGTCTTTTAGGTTACTGTGCGGAGTTTTTTTACGTTTTGCATTGCCTTCAGATATATTTCCGTTCCTTCTTTTTTATTTAGGAAAGCCTCACCTCCATTCATTATGACGGGAGGAGGCGCTATTTATCAGAGGAAAATACCCTAGTATGGTTAGGGAACCATTTACTAACGCAAATGAGAGTACTGATTCATTTTCTAAGGAGTTAAAAGTGATTTTTCTAAGAGTTACAAGGTGATACTTCTCTATCTTCGAAATTTACCACGCTCGTTTTCATTTTAAATTTTGTTACTTCTTACTGTAAATAGTCTTTATTGTGTTCTTTTTAATAATTTTAAACTTTATTGATGGATTTTATCAATTAAAACTTTAGAATAATTTGAATAGCTCTTCCGAAAAGTATTATGGAAGATAAGCAATTTTTTAAGTATATTTCCATGTAAATAAAGAATTAAATGTTTTAAGGGCTAATTTTAACATATATAAGAGCTCAAGTAATAATCTAAAATGATACCAAAAATTACGATGCTAGAAGCGAAACTTTTGTTTTTCTGATTTTTGTTATAAAATTAGGCTTAACGATGCAAAACCTCCGTCCTGTACGGTGACTGCCTTCGATTCTCTTCCGTCCCGCACGAGCGTTTTAAACAAAGGTGCGCCGTTGCGAAAAGGTTAAGGATCCCCGATTAATGTAGATCTAGTCCAATATGTATACTGCTTCTGAAACGCATTTTAGTTTTAACAGATGCTGTAAAAGAATGACCTGCTTTCTTATCATTATCTCGGTTTTTGAGAGCCTGTATCCACGAAAGGTGTGCGGCTGTCTTCATTCAATAACTACTTTAATTTCTCAACTTTAAAAGCCACCTTAACGTACTGGAGAGTAATCACTCTGGCTTCATTCTTGTGGACGCACGAACAACTTAAAAGGCAAAAGTTAACATAAAACCTTATTAATCCCAATTTGTGGTTTTTAAATTTGAAATAATTTAAAAAAAATCAATCATTTAAAGTGATCAGTGCCTTTTAGGAACCTTACAGAATATTAGCTGGGTCATAACCCCAGTAATTCTGCTCGAAGTAACAATACTAATTCTGTCGGACAGACAAAGTGTAACTAACTTTCAACATTTACCAACTGTGAACAAATGCGTGAGGCACGTCCGAAGGGCGACCAAATAACAAATCACAAGGCAGACGTAGATCGCGACCGAAGAGATCTGGGATGGGGAATAGCCGGTAATCTCGTAGACAGCCAGAGTCGGATTTACGTATAAGTTACACAAGCTATAGCTTAGGACCCTCACTTTCTTGGCCTCCCCCCAAAAAAATTGAAATATATTATAACAGACTTATAAAGAGCACCATATCTCAAATATCTTAGGGCTTTATCAAGACTAAATCTGGCTCTATGGACAACATTGCGATAGGTCAGTAAGAACAGAGGTATCTTCTGGTTGCAATTATGTTGGTTTATGGATACCATCAGCGAGAGGTTGCTAAGGATAATGCGAATGAACCTCTCCACCATGCCGTCTGAAATATTCACTCAAAAATGTTATTTATATTCTGCTTTCGGGGGATTATTAGTCATTATAGATAAATTCATTTTCTAGCTTTTATTTGTAAGATAGATTTATGTATATTATTTGATTTTTGGTTTCTTTTTTTCCCTCACAGGGTTATAATGAGTGGGTAAACGAGAACGGAATGGAACAGCTAAAACCATTCGCACTGGCCCAGTTTACGTCTAAACAATTGTTCTGGATACGCGCAGCGAACGTAAGTCTGTATTTCTGTATGTCAACAGCTAGAGATTACATCAGTGAATGACATCTGAAATAGAAGTTCACGAAGATTATTCCAAAAAACGCCTGAGTACCTGCAAAATAATAATTCTGCTCTTGAAACAAAAAGTAAATCTTATCGGTTTCTGGAATATCAATCGTAATATGGAAGTTAAAATAAATTAAATGAAATGAAATGCATTGAGAATCAGTTTCATCAGCTATACTTTGATATTCTGACAAGAAATTTGAAACTAAATTGTTAAATGATGTTCTTCCTGTTATTGATTAAAAGTGTTCAGAACAAAACGTTTCTATGTATATAAGATACTCAAGGAATTATATAAGTATAATAATTACACATTGAAACTGTTAACTTTCGAAAGTGATAATGATAACTTATTCTTATAATACAGACAGTAATCATCTGAGAGGGAAATAGCTTTACATTAAGAGGCCACGTAATTCTTGGCAAATGAATGTTAATGCTGGTAGTGTTTAATCTCATCACAATAATGGAAACTTTTCCCAGCTCCTCAAAATTCGAATAGATGCAGTTGATGATGCAGGAGGTGATGAATTCAAATGCTTTTTTATTATATGTGATGAAAGTACAAGCATTTCTTCACAACTGTAAGCATCTATTTGTGTGAGATATGTGAAAGAACGTAACGAAACACTTTTGCAATAGGGAATGTTTTACAATTTGTACCTGTAATAGCGACCCACAGAGAACATTTGGTTAATGCCTTTATAGATAATTTGACATCAATAGGCTTAGATTTGAAATAATGAGAGGTCAAGATTATGATGGTGCCAAATTTTCAAAGGTGTTCAAGATGAAATGAAAGAGAGATTTCCTTGAGCACTCTACGTGCATTATGTTTCTCATTTCCTCAGTTCTGCAATTTCTGATACATGTCACATTAAATACATGCATGTGGATGGAAGTGATAGAGAAGTGTCATTCTTTTATGCAATTATTTTCAGTTGTAAAAGCGTTTTCATGTATGTTACCATTAAGTAGGATTTTACAGTTGAAATCGATAGTATAAGCAACAATTGTTGTTGTTACTTATGCTCACTTGTCTGACAATAACATTACATCAAGCCCACGAAATTCCTCGTGGCAAGGAGTTCAAGATTACGCTTGTTGTTGGCAACAGCCTTGAGCACCTTACAGGAAAGCTACAATTGAATTATATGACGATATTTTAAAACTTCTAGAAATAATGACTATCTGGGAAAAATTTTCAGTACAATTTATTCACAGTTGGCCACATTTCTGAAGCAAATAAATGAAGAATATGGAATTTCTCTTCTATGATTTGTAAGCAAGCAAACATTTCGTTTTAATATTATAGTTCAAGGCATCGAATTCCATTTTCAGATATCAATTTTTAATCAATCTTTCGCTAGTTTGATCTTGTTTTGAAGAACGTTTCATTAAACGTAAAGAAATTTTAAATGTTTTTAATGTTTTAATTCTCAAAAAGCATAAATTCCTTCTCTAGTCTGAATATGCAAGAAACTCGAGATACTTTTAAATGTCTATTTTTCTGACTTGTGAAATTGAAATATTTGTATTTTAGATGTTAAATATCAGCATTGGAAAAAAAATTCCTTCAATAGCAAAATAGTTTACCTACAGAAGAATACAGTTGTTTATCTACATCAAAATAGTTTATCTTTAGCAGCCTACAGTAAAGAGATTTTTCCTAATATTTAAAACATTTGAAACTTTGAATAACATTGCAAGTTACGATATGTACTGCGGAAAGATCGGTTTTGACACTAAAATACCAAATAGGTAGTTAAAGTAGTACAAATGAGAGGCATTTAACTGATTATGTTTGCTGTGTATATGTATATATCTACATAAAAAGATTTAAAACATTCTCCCCCCCCGAAAAAAAAGAACCGCAGAATAAACATTAATTTATGTTTATGAATCAACATATTATTTTCCGATTTACCCGATGGTTTCGTGTAAATCGGAAAATTGTTTTAAGTATATCTTCTTTGACCTGACGAAATAATGTATTTCTGTACTGTTGACTGTTATTTTGGTAAACGTTCATTTTTAATAACATAATAATACAAATGCAATTGAATAAATGTCATGCATTGTACTTAAGCAGCCTAGTATAATTGCAAATATATGACTTTTAGATCCAATTTAGTTTTTAAATGGCAAAATTTTAAATAAGAAAAATTGCGCAACGGCAGTTTGATATTATGCTGGTGGTTGCTCTCCCCAGATTTACGCCACTGATCAGAACAGTGTTTTCTAGTACTTTCTAGATAACGCAGCAAAAAAAACATTTTTCTTATTTAATCACAAACGAAACTTCGAGCCATCATTTGGAAGGATATCCTTATTCCTGTGCTGCAACAAAGACTGGCGGTGTTGTCTGGCGGTGTGGCATCAATTGTGTTCAGCTGTTACTACTAAGCACTGATCTTGGTCATTCGTAGAAGCGAGAGCGACCTTCTTTAATACACCTGAAGCAATTTGCAGTTGTACGAAACACCCAGGGACAACAATTTAAGTGATTCCAAAACTCCATTACTACTTTTGTGTCCGTGTCAGTTTCCTTCCTTTTGTAAAATCATCGAGTTGTCTTTGAGACTTAATGAGAATTTCTTACTTGTTGACTTCTTTTATAAGTTTTAAAAATCGCAGCTATTCAATAGTGCAATTTCCATTTCACCTGCTTTTAACTTGGGTAGTTATGTAACACCTAAACGTAAAAAATAGAAAATGACACTTCGGTTTTTATGTTTTTTTTTTTTTTGTTTTTTATGTTGGGGGTTGCTTTGGATTTTTGTTATGAATATTTTAATTACCGAAGTCACAAAAAGTTGTTCTATTCGATTCCGTGCCGCTAATATTTGCATAATGATCTTTATCCTTCGATTTTAGATAAGCGCGGAATTGAATTATTTTTTATGTATCTCTACAAAGAATGTTAGTAAGCTTAGTTAATTAGTAAGTTTTTGCTTAACCTTCTTACAGTGGTTATGTGGCTAAAATACTAGCAATCAGGCTGGGTTCGAAATCTTGCAAACGGAATTGCTGTATAAGTATCTACATTTTATCCAAGTACAAAGTAAATACTACCAGTGTTCCTTAAGAAATACTCCTTGTAGGCATGCCTTCTGTTAAAAAGGTCTTAGTCAGTTGAAACAAAGAAAACAAATCGTACTGTAATGCAAATGAACTTATTTTAGTGGGAGAAAAAGTAAAATTAAAACTGTTCAGTAATACGCAAAACTGGCATTAAGAATGATTAAAATAATATGTTTTAAGACATTTTTCATCTTCAGAATAGATTTATGGTGTAAAAAGGTAAATTTGTTATACATGCAATTTCAAATTTTAGCTTTTCTATAAATTATTATTATTATTATTATTATTATTATTATTATTATTATTTTGCTGTGTAATTGGATATGATAAAGCACATAAGGTCGCCCAAGAGAATGTTGGTTAATTGATTAAATCAAACAAATCAAGAACTGTCTGTTCATCAGATGGGATGCGTTCATGAAAGTTTTTCTAAAAAAAAAAACTTACTTATATTTCTTCACAGACGCAGGCGAAATGTTCCTTAGGGTTCGAAACAGGGTCGAACCTGGACATTGAGTGTTTTTATCCATTCGGTCGTTAGCAGACACATTTGGTTATTTGAAACCAATATTTAGAAGTGAATGCTCCTCTAGTCAAAAGGTAATTCGTTTAGAAGATTTTTCAGCAAAATTTAACATTAGTAGTAATTTTCAGAAACATTTTTATGCGATTGCTAAGAATTTGATGTAATCATAACTCAAGTTAATCTGATAGTATGAGAAAATGTAAATTAATTTGACTAATACAAGTATATCAAGCATTTTTTTAAGTTGCTAATTTGTTTCCTTAAGGCTGAGTATACAAATTTAAATTCGATACATTTTTAACTAAAAGCGTGTGAGCAAAATTGTCTCATTCGATTCATTTCGTAAAGTAAATAAAGCCATGAGTCTGCTAGCGATGTATTTAAGAAATATATTTAATCCCGCTGTTGGTTTTAACCTTATGCTTGTATTTTCACAAATATAATATTCAAAACTGTATTGATTTATTTCAGATACTGTGTGAGAGTGCAACCGACCCACATCCAACTGGATCACGCTACCCACAGAAGTTTAGGTTAGTAAGATAAAAAGTCATGTTATTTCAAATAAAAGAAATTTTTCTGAGATGACGCACATATCTTAATATTTAGATAAAAATTATTAGGCTTCTGATATGAATATTATAGAGTCACTAGCGGGCAAGCCCACCAGATGAGCGGGCTGCGGCCAAAGCAAAATTTATAAGTTCTGTGTAAAACCTGCATAGAAAATTTATAAAAACATTTCAGTATGAATGAAATCAATTACCTATATATTAACAATAACAAACGGGCCGCGTAATTCCGTAAAGAATTTTACTCTACCAGTTTAGAAAAGACGGATGGCAATTTTAAAATTTCACCTCGTACACACTTCGACGCAGAAGCCGACCGGCAATGAAGTTCGGCGAAAAAAGCAACTCTCAGAGTTCGAAAATAAACGTTTTCAGAGTTTTTAATTAATATCTCACTTGATTAAAGTCTACTAAGATTAAAATGAAAGAAATGTCTTCCCACGAATCTTTGAAAGCCGGGATACCTCTCTCGAAACTCAACCTCCCCCACGTTCCGGAGGACAGAATGTTACAAACAGACAGACGTGCAGAAATTTTAGTAGCATAGATTAGGTTTCTTATATGCGGGAGATATGAAAAATGTGTAATGCTCTCTCCAGGATTCGGACTCCAGAGCTCCCGATTATGCATCGGGCGTCTTTTAGTTACACCCCGAAGGCACGCCGAAAGGAGGGAGAAAATACCTTGTAATATATTAAAAGTTGCACAGGTATCCCAGATGCTGAATATATGCACTGTGTTATATAACTAATATCAAAATAAAATAACAATTTTGTGGGAAAAAATAAAGTTATTTTCTGAATAGACATATTTTAAATGTAATACAATATCTTCTATTTCAGAGTAATGGGACCACTATTCAGCTTACCAGAATTTGCCCAAGATTTTAATTGCTCACAAGGGGAAGTAATGAATCGAGGAGAAGACATATGTATACCTAATTAATAACAAAACTAAATAAACGAGTCAAATAATGTTTTACATATGCATTATATATATATATATTGTATTATTATTATTATTATATTATTATTGGTAAACGCTTACTACATGCAAAATTTCTAAATTGATTTGAAGTTAAAAAAATTTATTTGTTAAAATAAAATTATGTTTCCATTTTCTGCAGGTTGTTCTTGCTTTTCTAATTTTACCTCTAGTGTATTTGGGTAGTTAATCGTTTTTTTCTCTGTAAGAAACAATTTTGAGTATATGCCATTTGAAATTTAACGTTTCAAGCAAACAGCATAGAATTATTTTCTTAAAAAAAAAATATCGAACTAAGGTTGAATTTAGCCTTAACTTATGTGTCGAAAGAGAAAGTTATATTATTATTCATGTTGTTTTTACTTATCAACAGAACAAGAAAAATAGCTGCTGACAGAATATTTTTGTTCGTTGAAGATGAGGAACTCCCTGTTTCTCTCATACGTAAAGCAAAACGTTTTCTTCAGAATTAACATCAATCCAGGACAAATTTTCTTCAATTCAAGTTAAGACAGATTTTCATCAAAAAATGCTAAAATATCTAACCGTACTAAAAATTCAGTCAAGAGAATTTGAAAAATGGTATTAAATGACTACTTGAATCTATACCAAAACGCAAGAAGTTTTGAAAGTATGTCTACCTGAAACTAAAATCTGCGGAGGATTAAAGAACCTTAATTAAATATATATGTAATAATAAAATTCCATAATCAAGAATACACTTAAAATTCTAACTGTATGTTCTTTTCATTTTTAATGGCGATGTTCTCTTATTTGAAAGTACGTGGAATTAAATCCACAGCCCCGTAGTCAAGTTGTTTTTCCCGCCTTTTCTACACGTACAGTTATAGAATGTTCTCGAGATATTTGAAGCGAACTGGATTGGCTGACGCCATTTTTTGGAAGCTCCGCCTCTCCAGAGGCTATAAAAAGACTCGCAAAAGGAATATCGGGGCTTTTTCTTAAATGTCACGATGCAGTAAACCCTTCATACAAAATATTATTAGTAGTTCTTTTTATTTACTCCGGAGATCAGATTTTTGTAATTGCTATTTTCTCCTGAAATATAATAAATGGATCCTGTTTTTTTTTAAACTTATCGTCTGATTATCTAAGCTAGGACTACATTTATGATTCTTCAGCATTCTATTTATTCCGGACAAAAGCTGATACATCACATATATATATATATATATATATATAGGGGGGTGGGGTGTAAGATAAAAATATAAAAGCAAACTTCTAAATTTAACTCACTATAACCTCTCTTGTCACAAATTAATACCGTCGGCAACGCGCTCTACCGACGATATACAGAAAATACTCAGTTCAACGCACGCGAGCTTCAGAAATGAGGATGTGATTGTTTGAATTCACGCTCTGAACTTCAAAACTATCAAGGTTGTCCCGAAAATAATGCAGGTTTTTGCAATTGTTTATCTTACCTGTACATTTTTAGCAACAAAAATATTTTGAATTACATTGGTTTATATATCATTTTGAAGCTCTGTTTTCGCTCTATATTTCTATAATAATCATTTTGTTCCAAAATTATTTAACAAATATTTACTAGGTGTTATTGTTTAGATGTCAAAACGGGAAATCTGAAAATTTACTTTTATGAGTACAAGCTAGGCCACAGTGCAGCACAAACGGCTCGAAATGTCAACGAAGTATGGGGTGAGAAAAGTGTTAATGAATCTACAGTTCAACGGTGATACCAATTTTCGTCGTGGAGAATTTGAAACTTCAAGAGCATGGTTGACGCTCTTCAGCTGTTGATGACGATGATTTGAAAACTATGAAATTAAAGTACAACTTTTATCATTATTCCCATTCGCACTGCGTTGCAGCCATTTCGAAAGGATCTCTCTTCAATATGTGTGAAGGCAGACGCTAAAATTTCTTTGAATCAAGCTCTAAGAAGAGAAAAAGTAAACAGTAGCCCAAATTGTTAAAATTCCATTGTCATAAATAAAATACAGAAATTGAATATTGGAATTTAAAATACAGAACCTGAAATTTAAAAGACGGCATTAATCGATAACTTGGGCATAACAAACCACCGTTTCACACCTTGATATTCCAACTCCATCCACTAAATCTTGCCAAATCACACACACACACACAAAAAAAAAAAAAAAAAAAAAAAAAAAAAAATTCTTTTTAGTGAGAACTATTATTCAGTAAAATTGTAAAATTTATTGTATAAAGCACAAAGAAACAAAATTAATTTTTAGACCGGTGTCTAGATTCTTTTTATGTAAGTACAGTATATTTTTGTTAGATATAGAAAGTCGGTTAAGGGTGAATTATTCAAGATTTTTAATTGTTTAATGAATGGCAAAAGCGTATTTTTGAAGTTATGAAAACTAAGTGTACTAAATTTATACATAACATCGACGATTTTAATTATTTCCTGATACGCAATCGAGCTCAAAATTTACACACGCAAACATTGTGGAAGATAATACAATGTGGTGCAGCGACTTATTTTTAAAAATTCAATTTATATTTTCCTTTTTTTAGCTCAAATGGGCGTTAGCTCAGAAGGGCTAATAGTCTCTAAACGGCATTTTGCGTCAAATCACTATAAACGGCTATATCACTTTTCAAATTGTTACTACCAAATATTATAGCAGTGTATTATATTTAGAGAAATTAAATAATGAAGAATCTGCATGAATGTATGTACGTTTCTCGCACTTTGAATAAACAGCGGTACCTAGAGCCATCAAATTCTGAATAACGTAGTCTTCCACCCGAATATGGGAACCTGGAAGTCCAAATTTGAAATCTGAAATTTGTTTTACTGTCTGTTTTACATTTTGTAAAATTTTAAGGAAATTTTAATGAACAAACTCAACGACTTTCAAAGCGAGCAACGCAGATACTGTACGAAAAAAATTAATTTTTATCCAGCGCGTGGGACTATCAATCGGAAATTTTAAAGATATATTGTTTTTAAATATTTTATCTCAAAAAAAAAAAAAAACATTAGCACAAATGCTCTCGAAACGTGTATGTGTGTGTAAATTAAAAAAACGCCCCTTTGGACGTAACATAAAATCTGAAAGTTTCCAATTTTTGTTAATTTAATACTGAAATTATTTTTCGTACATATCTTCGTTTAACGAGCAAATTAAAACTCTCAGAATTTTATTGTTTGTGCCGTGGAATAGCGTGAGAAAAAATATTTTAAATGAACTGTATATGAAATTTTTGACGCAATTTCTGATTTTTGGCAAATTTTATCCATCATTTGACGTAATACAATTGTTGGAAGTAAAAAAAAAGACTTTTTTCATTCTTGAAAGATGATTTTTCATTGAATACTTTACAATGTGTCATTGAGACTAAAAAGACGAAAATAAAACAAAGTAAGGAAATTTTTTTATAAAATAAGCTTTTATTTAAATCTCATAAAATAACTAATGAACAAAAAGTGATAAAATAATTTTCTTTACAAAATTATCTACAGTCTTATATCACGAATAATAAAAGTTTGGTGCGTCTTAGATAAATTTATAAAGATATTTGGTTGTGCAATTCGATTAAATAGATTTCCTTATTTGGGTACTGATGTTTTTATTATATGCCCGAGTACTACTGAGTAATTATTTTTCCTTCTCTGCTGTTTGAATTGAATTGAGCGGGTTTTAGTCTTCTGACAATCTTTACGGTTTTCTTAAAATCAGTTTTGTAATTTAAAATAAAGAAATGTATATATGAATTGTGGCCTAGTTGGTACGAATATAACATTTTTTCGGGGAAGGAAGTGTAAATCAAAGGTATATTTTTCAACCTAAATGAGGAAATTTTACTTGTCGTTCATCACATTTCATTTCATCGAAGACTAAGAATTTAAAAAAATAAAACATCTCTTATTTTCATAAAAAAGTACAACATATACTTTTGTCAACATAATTAAATGAAGGAATTGGTTCGTACAATTTCAACGTATTAATGAACTATTAACTGAAATAAAAACGATAAAATTAATGTTTATTTATAGCAGCCTTAAATATTAAACGCGTGATTTTGTTTCAGTCTTTGCCACATAAAGTGAAACAAAGGAGTCATGGTGTACTCTTGACTATCCATGCTAATGCGGGAAAGACGGTCACAGATAATTAAAAAGCACGGATGAATTCAAACTGCATGCAAACTAATTTTCATGCGTATTGTGTGAATTTATTTCTAAAAAATATCTGATGTAAACACAACACGACATCTTTGTACAGCTTATTAAATTATACACACTTTCTGCTGCATTTCATTTAAATTATTTTCTCGAATTTCATTTGAGATATATTTCTAATTCAATCGATTCAGTTCTCATTTCGCGGCAAGGCAACTCCAACTTCATAAACAATTTTAAATTACATAAAAATCTAAAACACCAAATGCAGTCAAAAATTAGAGTTTCTCAACAAGGCTAATCAACAAAGTTTTATATGTTCCTGATGCATTTTCACAACACATGACTGCATTGCACTCTGTAGATGATTTGTATTCAGAAGTGGATTTTTCTTTTCGCGAAGCAAGACCTTTCGTTCGCAAACACTTCTGTTATAGGTCTGTCTCACCTGCATTATAGTTCTGATCAGGTTGCAAATTTTCTTGTTTAAAATATTCCTTAAAATCGATGCAGAATTTAACAGTGGCTTCACCAAAACCGCTGAGGCGTTTTCTTTGTATGGTGGGTTCTTGAATACCATACTGTTACTTAAATCTTGTAAGCCATCTTGACAGGGCTTTGCACAGCATAGATGAATCTAATTTTTCGTGTGTTGAGGGTTCGGTTAGAAGAATCTACCGCAAAGCTACAATCTCTTGTGAAGACCTCTAACTTCTTTTTGTGATTATTAACACACGAACAGCTTAATTAATCACGAACAGTTTCGAACCAATTCCATATATCTGGGCTAGCTTTATTATCTATTCTTCATATTCAAATATTTCCCTTTATGTAAGATTTAGTTTTAATGTTCAAATAGTTTCTTATGCTCAATACATGTAGCGTGGTTTTTATTCATTTTTCAGTTCTAAAATTATAAGTAAATTTTTAAAAGAAAATAAATCCCAGCGATCACTCGAAATGATGCCTTCGCATGACAAATTGTACGAGGTAATCGTTGAAACCTAACATAAAAATCCGAATCAACGGCTTTTAGAGCATTCTCGGAATTGCGCGTGTTTGTTTTTTACACACTCTCGCTCATAGCGTTGAGCGTACTATGTGCATGATCATCACCACATAAGGATAACCTACAAAACGGAGAGTTAATTTTATTTTTACAAAAGAAAACGTATAATTTATTTCCTTTCGACTAAAGTTAAAACATTACTTTTTATATTGTTAAAGATTTTTTATAAATGTAAGTAATTTTAGTGTAATTATATGTTAAATTATAGTATATGTAACATGAAAATTTAAAGAAGGAAAGCTTTGCCGTGAAAATAAGAATACAGAAGCAAATCTCTTTAACACTGAGTACATGGCTAATTCGCTAAGCTGGCGATGGTTTATGCAACTAATGTTTATCGCCAAATTTGGCAATAAATCGCCTTGGACACCCTTTGGCGACATTTCGTCCAATCCTTGTATAACTGTAATGCGTATTGTAACTGAATAACTGAAATTGACGTTGTATGTAACTGCAACCGTATCCAACCTTCATATGCCTTCCAGTAATTTCGAGAAGTGGAAGGTAATAGACATCTCTCGGCGGCCAGGAGAAAACTGTTAACACTCCATCGGGCGCGTTGATCTGACAGATACGGGGGTGTCAAAATCTCTGTTTTTGTCAGCTTAGAGACTGAGAGAGCATCAGTTTCTCAGTAAGAGCTATTTAGTTTGGAGTATTGAGATATCTCCGTGTGAGCTTTGCTCTATAAATGCTCTTTGCATTGTGATGTGTTTAACTTTCTTAGTAGTTTGAAGTGTAACTGCTGACTGTATTGTGTGATATTGTGAAGAGCTGTACAAATAGTTTTGTGGAAAGTTCCAGAACTGTGAAGTGTTTCTTTTGGTAAAATAAATTTTATCAACCTATCGTCAGTTCTGTATGCATTTAGTCTATTACGAACACGTAGGCACGCAACATTATACCATGCCTGTATACAATACATAATTGCATAGTAATTGTTTGCAAGCCACATATCATAGGTTACAAACTATATGATAAAAGTGCAAAATTGAAGTAGGAAAATCTGCACGCCGCAAACATTCAACTAAATTAATTAAACAACTTAAAGTTATTTATTGTATTTTATAGTTAGTTTGTATTATTTAAAAAATTACAAAGACTGCAATAAGTTATTGATAAGCTTAATTTTATTTAATCCACAGCGAAGACTAGACGATCCCGTTTTTGTGGAGTACCTGCAAACACTCGACAATATTTTTAAATATATCTTAAGATTTAAAAAAAAAATTCTGAAGAATTATTTTCTGTGGATGAAACGAAGCTCAGCATACGTGGGTTGGTAACTGAGGCCCAGAAATGTTCCAACCTTCACTTTTTTGCCAACTGCTGGTAAAACTTCAAAACTCTGCATCAGTATGGTGAAGTACAATAAAATTTCCATAAGTGCAATCATTTCACCCGGACAGCTTCTTTTTCCTTTGAAACAAAATAAATTCTCATATTTCAGTTTTATTTTATTACTAGATAAAAATATGAATTAAATTAATATTTCACAATATAGCTTAAAATCCAAAAGAATTTCAAAAATTGGTGACAATCAAACAAATGTCTATTATATAGCACATGCTTTCCATGAAATGATCGTAAGAAGGCGGAGGTTTTAGGAAAGAAAGGTAAAACTTCAGTGTAACGTCTTAACTATATACGATTTTATATCATATCAGTAGTAATGACTGTAGGCAAAATACCCGAGAACCATTTACTTACATGGCAAGAAAGTGGTCACACATCATTAGGTTTGTAATTTTGTCACGGGATGATAAAAATCAAATTGCTGGAATGGCTAAAAAGTAAATCGTGAAATTGCTTGATCAAAGATAGTATTATAAATTTCGCACCATGAGTTTCAAATTTTCTATCAAATTTTGTCAAATATATATATTGATAGTAAATCAAAAAAGTAAAAGTCGGAATGTAAATAAAATAAAAATGTTGTTCCAAAAGTTATATAGGTTTACTGTTTTCTCCGAGAGAATGTTACAAAACCGATTAAACGTTAATGAAGGAAACATTTAAAAAACGAAATTGTTAAAGAAAATTCCAAAAATTAAAAATTACAGATTATGAGACATAATAAAACAGACTGCAAAAAAATTGACTCGAAAAAAAATTTTAATCTCTCTGTTTAACGCTTCAAACAGAACTTGTCAAGCAAAATGTGTTTTGAAGCCTTAAACCAAGTTAATTAATGAATTTCGAACACACACGTCTCGTTCCTCTGAACCATTTGAGATTTAAAATTGATTTTCATTACTAAAACAGAATTTTAAAAAGAAATTTCTAATGAGTCTAAAATGCTCAGATCTTTCCCCTACATGCATTCGTACTCAAAGCAAACAAAAATGCAAAAAAAAAAAAAAAAAAGACAACCACAAAACTAATAGAAATGATTAAAAGTAGTACAAAAATATAAAAACAGTCAAAACAAACTTATAACAAAAGGAACTTAAATCAAAGGAAAAGGAAAAAATTATAACTAGAATTAAGGAAGAAATTTGCTTTTTATACTTGAAAAAAGACTAAATGTTCACAGTTGAAGTATACAGAACCAAAGTAAAGGGCTTCATAAATTACGTACTTCAAAGCAAACAAAATGCAAAAAAAAAAAAAAAAAAAAAAAAAAAAAAAAAAAGAACAACCACAAAACTAAATAGAAATGATTAAAAGTAGTACAAAAATATAAAAACAGTCAAAACAAACTTAATAAACAAAAGGAACTTAAATCAAAGAGGAAAAGGAAAAAATTATAAAACTAGAATTAAGGAAGAAATTTGCTTTTTATACTTGAAAAAGACTAAATTGTTCACAGTTGAAGTATACAGAACCAAAGTAAAGGGCTTCATAAATTACTTAAGATTTTTTTTTCTTTTCTATGCCAAACTATTAAAAATATTAACTATTTCCAAAAACAGAATTCGTATAAATTTATGCTGGAGCGATCATTCTGAAACATTGAAAAATATGAAAAACTTACCGTTTTCGTATACTTCTATTCAAGAAAAACAAATGCGCCTAAAGTAGAAAATGGATGCAAAAAGTTTGCAAAAATTTAAACGAACATTGCTCAAGGGTTTACCATAAAGTGAGAAAATTGTTATTCAAACCTGGCAAAACCGGTGTTGGCAAGTAGATAAGAATAAAAAATAATTAAAAAGCCCGCGCTTTTCTAGGTGTGAGTCTATAGTGGAAACTATGAAGAAAGCAACCTTAGGACGAGATATGGCGTCGTATTTTCTCTTAAAAATCTTAAAAAGAAACCATCAAAGATGGCGACATAATTCCACAATCTTAAGTTTAATACTGGCCTAAAGTTCCGGAAAACGAAACAGAGGTGTTAAAAAGTCAAAATTATTCACGTAATTGAGCTATAATACGTCTGTAGGAATCGAAAAATTCCCTTTGTTTTGTTAGAGACAGGATAAAAATGTCAGTATTTCATAAAAAGCACAAAGTAGTGGTACGTTCAAATTAAAGCCTAGTATAAATTCTAAGAGAAAAGAGACTTTTAATTACATATACACAATAAATTACTCGTAGAAAGTCAACCAACAGTTACGTTCTTTTCAGGTTTGGGTAAAAATTATCATTTCACTGTTAACAAGTAATTTAAAATGCCAGCTTTTTTTAAGGTGTGTGAAATTGCGAATTTGATTTTCTATGAGGAGATTTATTAAGTTTTGTATGTCTCGAAGGTAATCTGTTTCGTTGCAAACCCTTTTTGCTCTAAAAATTTGCGTATTGGCATTAATTATACCTTCCTTGGAGATGTTGGAATTCCAATTGATAAGTTTAATGATACGAAAATTGAAATCTCTTCTTTTACCTTAGATTTAAATATCTTTGTACTTTAAAATTTGTAAATCAAGTCAAATAATATCTTCCAGTTTAGACTACTTTTATTAAGTTTTAGGCAAGCAGGATAGATATTTGCTTCTTCTATTTTATTAAAGTTATTGAATGCTATGACGTCATCGACATACCTATAAATGCTGGAAAAATAAGTATGTTGTTCAATAGTAAGTCAATTTTGAAATTAATATTCTTGTAAGAATAAAAACAAGTTACAAATATTCGGATGATGTGCTCTAGCCCATTGGGATCCCCCATACTTGCTTGGAAAATGTGTTATTAAATTTGACGTAATTGTGAAACAAAACATTTTTTAAGTAGATTTTCCATTCTTCTCTGAAGACTATTGTAAGAATTTGTGTAAATAAATCTGGCATAGTGAGAAGGAGTATGCAGAGAATCTGGCAGAAATGTAGTGTTCGGAACTCATTAATCAACTTCTTTAAGGCTACAAAACACTTTTCCCTTGACAAAGTTCTGTTTGAAGCGTTAAACAGAGGAGATTAAAAAATTTTCGAGCAAAATGTTTTGCAGTTTGTTTTATTATGTCACATGTTCTGTAATTTTTTATTTTTAAATTTTGTGATTTTCTTTTAACAATTCCGTTTTTTAAAATGTTTTCTTCATTAGCGTTTAATCAGCTTTGTAACCTTTTCCCTGAGAAAAAAATAGGTCTTTAGAGTTTTGGAAACAAAATTTTTATCTAATTTACGTTCCGACTCCCCCTCCCTTTTTTTTTTTTCAATTTTTTACAATCTAGCAGCTTCAGGGCAGATTCGTCTCTTTCCTTTGTTAATGGTTACTGCGTCATTCAACAAGAAGCCCGTTTTTAAATTTAGAAGAACAATCGTTCACCATTAAAATATTGTTTGTCGATATTAATAGGCAACAGATGGTTGCTTCATCTAACTCAAAACGGTAAAACGGCATTTTTACATATTAAAAAAGTTTAGCGAAACCTTTGTGTTATTATAAGCTCAAAACTTTGTAATTGTGTAGATTTTGAGAAAAGGATTATTTGCAGTTATATTTTTCTCGTAAATTTTAATAGGTTGTAGCATTAAGGTTATTCAAATATGAAAAGTATCTAACAATTACAAAGTAAATTTGAAAAAATCTGACGGGGACTTGGAATTTTTTTTTTTTTTTTTTTTTTTTTTTTTTTTTATGTTATGGGAAAAATTTAATATTTTGGAAATCTCAGGAAACCCTTTTTTTTTTTTTAATTCGCCAATATATCCGAGATTTTTATGGCTTCCCTATATACGAGAAATGTCATCGTTTCACATTTGCGATTTCTAAACAAAAGAATCTATAAAATATTCTTTTCAATATTATTCTAAATTGATCAATTTACTATTGATACGCCAGTGTGCTCTTTTGTACGGAAGTTTAACCAATTTTTCATTTTCTAAAAATAGGGTTTCTCTTTGCATTCATTATAATCATTATAATTTGCATTCATTATAATTATGGATTAAATCTGATTACCTAAATTTTGGTCCTTTTTTATTTGATTTTTATAAATATATGAATCTTTATTTTTTAACCAACCTATGTGTGAAATACGCTCCTTCAAATTGCTTCACATTCTAAATAAACACATTTAATTATATATATTTTATTACATAGCTCAATTACATAGTAAATACACGTTACACAACTCATCACACTACATTCTCAAAACCTGCGCACCGAAACTTTTTTTGACGAAGATGTGGGCTGTTACAACGCTCTCTATGGGAGACCTCAACACTATGTATATACAAAACCAAAACACCAAGCAAAACAAGATACCATACCGTCGTTATCAAACCAATATCTGCTATGTGCACTTTTTGGAAATTTACTAATCAAATTTTCATATATAAAAGGACTGCTATGTGAAACTGCGGTCGCTAAAAAAGTATGCTGTGTGCATCAGCCAGAATATTGTTAAATAAAAACTGCTATGTGACAAACGTGCATATAGCATATTTTATTTGAATAAAATCAGCTGTAGAGGTTAGTAAAATATCTGCTATGTGGTGTGGCTATGTGGACAACACCCCTCCTTCCTCATAGCTACGTTACCTACAGCGCGAATAGAATCGTAAGCATGACAGATTCAGTTCATTACTCTTAAGTCGTCAGTTGATTGGGTGTATGAGCTTGTAAGTATGATTTGTCAAGTTATAAAGTAATAAAACTTGCAAATCATTTCTTAATTTTTTATGATACTAAAGCTATATCTGTACTGAAGAATGAAATTTTGGTCAACTCCATCGATTACGAGAATAAATGACTAATTCTCTTCTTGCTATACATTTGCATCTACAAAATTTTAAAACTGAGCCATGCATGAAAAATGATACTTTAAGATATGTTCTTAATCAATATTTTAGTCTTCTATACTCATTTTTTCGAACATCTCTTAGTATGTTTATAGAACTTTTAGGAGATTTTTTTAATGAGCTATTGGAATGATCTTTAAATTTTATAGTGCATTTTTCTGAATTTTTGAAATTTCAGAATTGGAGCTTTTAATATAATGTCTCACTTGAGGAGGAGGAAGTAGTCTACAAAATACCAAATTTAAGTGGAAAAGGAATCTATTGGTTAGTCGGATGAAAGTTACAGTCTTCTCTGCAATCAAAGCTTGATTATAATTTTTTACGGTGAACGGGCAATATCGTGTGTTTCGTTATTTGTTTTTGTCAGTTGGGTTAATCTGAATTGTGGCACGTACACGTAGGCTGTTTGACTGTAGGAAGAGATAGTTTCATGGAGAACATTTTAAAGAAATCTGGCCTCGTATTTACTTTCACATGAAAGAAAACGCACAAACATCTACGCAGCCAGGTCATTTATCATGATTATAAACTGAGTCAAATTATTAGTACCTGCGTTTAGGCTTTATAATCACTTAGCCATTAATGGGCAACTGTCTGTCTTCTAACACGCGAAATTTTTCAGATCTATTTCTTTCTCGTAATGTATGAAATCTATACTTCACATGAAAAGATACGAAATTTCTTTGAATTAATATTTACCAATCAGAAATTTAACTATTGATGATACCTATATTCGAAGCTTTTAAAAAAGATATTTGTCCGGTGAATTTAATTTTTATTTGCAGATATGTCCAAATTTGCTTCTTCATTATAAGTAAAATACCATCTTTTGTTTATTAACAATGATTATTTTAAACATTTTGATCTTCGTTTGTACAAAATTTTATTCATTGGATGAATTAATGAATATTTAAGTAAATTCCTTTAATATATAACAGCAGATATTTGATGCATAATTTCAAGTAAAATTTCCGTTTCAATACCTTTTCGTTCGTAGGAAAAATATTTCTACTATTATTTTATAAGTAAAAATACTTATATTAATAAAGTAAGAATATTGAGACATTCAAATAATTATTGCCATTTGCGTTGTTATTCGGTAGATAAGTCTTGAAACCTTGTACATGCACTTTGCATGAAACGGTACAAACTGGGTGGCGGCATAAATTTAAATTCTAATTTCAAGCGAAATTTTTACTTACCATATGAGAATGGGTTGTAACTATCACGTTTATAATTTAATTGCTTTCCATCAGTAGTCAGAAAACGCTCGGGAATGAATTTGTCTGCTTCTGTCCAGTATTTTGGATCATTGTGGAGGGCGCAATTATTAACTATGATGTAAGAGTTCTTCGGTATGTCATATCCTTGCACTTGAATGTCTTCTCTTGCCCTGTTGGAAATAAAGGTAATTTTACCATCATAACTCGTAAATACAATTTTCCAAAGGAAAAAAACAGCTAGAGAGGAGATGAAAGAAAAAAAGAAAGAGAGAGAAAAAGAAAAACAAATAAATATTCATATCTGAGTTTAAAAAAAAATATTCTAAGGTTAAAGCTAATAATATCAGGACTTTCTTAGCTAAAAGCAAGGTACAGAAAGGCATATTTTTTTAATAAAACGCGTTATTAGGTATGCTTATTAGTTATATGGGTTTATATCTGTGGCATATGGTGAATGTTCGAATTTCTTCTACTTCCGAAATTTCTTATAACTCAGCAACGTAAGATCGAATCTTGGATTACTCGAATTATGGCACAACATACGAAGAATATCTGCCTAAGAGGAGAGATGCATTCATGGACATTTGAGGAAAACTCTCTCTCATCAACGTGACACATTTGTAAGACAGCATCATATTAAGACAATAAGTAATGTTGTCAATTTCTGCATATAGAGTAGGCAGAAAATAATATTCCCTTACGTCAGCAGTACGGTACAAATGAATTGACAGGACTAGCATCATCTTTATGAGCATTAACACACATATACGTCTTTAATCATTACACTTTGAAATTTTCAGGTTAATGAAAAATTAGGAGAATTTCCGAATTAATATCACAGTTCAGTACGATGGATATTATCATTCACGGGCAGTCGTTTCAGAGTGCTCATGTTCTGACCAGGACTCGTTTTAGACAGACTAGTAAGACCTTAGGTACAGCGCACTTCCATAATTCCTCAATCTCCATTACTTTTATGAAAAACCTCATGATAATGAGAAATTATAATATGATCTGGGATTTCCTAAATTTTTTATCCGAAACTGTGTTTAAGCGTTATTCATGCCATTAAGATGAATCACGTAGACACTGTACGCTACAGAAGTCACCATAGACAGCTTTGCTGGTGGCACCAGTAAAATAGTAACTGCCAAATCCATTGCAGGTTCAGTTTCGTTTGTAACTATGACACAGCACGCGGAGGCTATTAGCTTAAATGTGGGATGGCTTCGTGTAATACCTATTTAAGGATCTGATTTGGTTTATTTCATAGCGGCAAAGCCCTCTATGGCTATCTGCGTAAGGGGGAAAATGACTAATAAAAGAGTTTTTAAAAGAAATTCATTTTTCGAGGGAAACCGGCTTAGGTTACGAAAAACGCCCAACCAGCCAATCCATTCACGAAGATTCAAACCTAGGTCAAACTACTAGTATTCAGTGGCTTTGCCTCTGCTTTTAGTGAGCCTACATGCGTGACAGAAGATTAATATATGTACGAAAATTATTATAATAAAGGTATGTAAATTTATTTTTTTATGAGTCGGTATTTCATTAAATACAAATAAGAAACTATTATTTTATATTGAATTCTAAATTTAAAAAACCGTTATTTTATCTTTATTCTTATGCGATAAAAATGGTTCGATTTTGTTTCCATCCTCCATTGTTATTTAACTTTTATTTCCGTAATCTTTAGCTAATTTTGTTTCAACTTTTCATTTGTTTGTGGTTTCATTTTCTCCAAAAGTCATTCAATTATTTTAATTACCCGTTAACTTGAATTCTTACATTGTTTCTATCTGAGTTGGCATCCTAGTGAACAGACTGGCCTGTGGATTTTTTTCTCATATATCATGTTAATACGAGGCATTACCTCTTTAAAAATATACTCTTTGAAGGCACCCGTCACGATAAAAAGTCCTCGCACGCTTTACCGCATTCAGTTAAGATAAAGAAAAACTTTAATGACGAATAATTACGGTAATTGCTCGAAACTGCTATCATCAGAAAACGGCAGCGATCGGAGATTGATGGACATATTCGAACACATCTTCGAGACAGGTACCGATCGAAATTCAGGCGACCGTTTACTCATCAGATTCAAGTCAAATCTTAATGGCAAGGTTTTTAGATATTTCCACAGAAAGAAAGTGAGACCTTTCAGATCGAATAAACATGGGAACATAGGTGGAGTACCACCTTGCTAAATACAGCAGCCTGAAAAGATGACTTCCAAGTAGTTCTTTACATTTTGCCGAAACAGAGATAATTCCTCGTCGTGCTGGAACTCATTCACCGATGGATGGCTGCTCGAACATGCTCCAGCAATTCTGGCAAAACCTCCAGCAGAAAGATACAGTACGTTCATTCATTTGAGCTGGTTTTTTGAGCTGGTCATTTGAGCATATAGGTTTCCTTGCAAATCAAGTACCAATCCTCCGGATTTGAATCTGGGGCGCATTTATGTTTGCGAAATTGTGGCTCGCTCGCAAGCAAGCGCCTGCTAGGTCTTTTCATTTAATTTTTGGTCATACTTTTTATGTTAGAAAGATTATCTCGGCGTGTTTTACCATCCCGGAAAGTCTATCTAATTTTCTTAAACATTATATATATCTATTTCGATTTTACACAAATTATAACAGGGCTCATTTATCGTGATCACGAATTTTCACTTTTGCTGCAATCAAGAATATATAAAAATAGGAATGATGGAGGAAAACTTTATAGCAGAAATATATAATTTATGAGATATAATTTGGAAATGCTTTCGCATAAAACCGACATCAATGCAAAAATGATAGAAATTTTTCGTTTCTTGAATTTATACGCCAGATACAAGACATATTTATCATATAAATCATAAGCATTGTTTGTGTGTAAAACCTTTGAACAGCTGCAAATAAATGCAATTACTTTTTTCTATGTAATTAATGTATTAAATCTAAACAAAAATTTATAAAAAATAGCTAGATATTTTCTTACTTTATGTTGCATAATTATTTCTACTTCATTTGCTTTTCTCTCCTCAATAAATCTTTTTTTTTTTTTTAACTGATAAGTAATTTTAGAATCTCCAGCATTTTTCAAAACGGTATGATGAAGCTCATGAAATAAATTAATAACAAATTAAAGAATCCTGAATTTCGAGAAAACACAATTGTTTGGGGACTAATGAGTTCTTTATCCCAATTTCACTTACATTCGTGGATTGTTAACTGGCACTAATGTCTTCCATCTCAGTGATTCCATTATAACAGCATAGGTGTAAGGCAGTTTCGATCGCTCAGACCACGTGACGGTCCCAACACGTTGTCTAGTTCTTGATGCACCTTCTTCTGAACATCCGGGTGTTCGGCCACGGCTATGAGCAACCATATTGTGCTAGTTTTCGTCGTTTCGCTACCTGCCACCAGAAGGTTCTGAGCGTTACCCCGAAGGTGAGTTTCTACAAAAGAAATATTATCTCTAGAATTCTAAGAAAATTTAATTATAATAAAAATTTTAATTCTACTATGTAACATTTAGAAACGAACGTTGCTGAAATTGCTCAGCTGTTCAAGGCTATATTAAACCATTACTACAACACACAGCCCACTAACGGCCGAGAGAATAAGATCGCTAAACATTAATAGTTCAGCTCGGGTTCATATGCTGCGAACACGTTGGTTGAAAGGTGTATCCGGGGTTTTTATCACATATATAAAGTACTTGGAAAATTGACCCATCACCGACCGAATGGTTGGTTGGTTCATTTTTAATGGTTGGTTTTTTTATTATGCGCCAGACAAATGGTGAATAAACTTCAAGATACGCAAACACACTGTATCAAATGAATTGATGAAATGAGTCTGAAATGCTGATGAAAGCATGGAGAAATGACTTTGAGAAACGCTGTAGCTGCTCCAGCAACAGCATATGGTAAAAAGAGATGTCTTTTAAAAATCTTATGAGGTTGATCCGACCGTATGGATAAGATTGCTAAACATTAGTAATCCAAACTTGATTCAAATATCGATGAGCTATGTGTGACTACACTGACTCGTTGGTGGTTTTCCATAAGTGTATACGTATATCAGACACATTGCCTTAGATGTTCATCTAAGGAAAGCATTGCTACCTTTAGGAGCACATGCAGCCTTTAGTCTTTGCCATAAACCAGCGTTTCTTAAACAATGGGTCGCGAAAATTTAATTTAGGTAGTGAATTTAAAGAAATGAGATTAATGAAATTAATCACTTGCCATATAAAGCACTAGGGATATAAATAGGGATGCCATATAAAGCATAAGGAACTAGTAGAGCTATCGAGTGACTGAAACTTAAAACTTGGATTCCTAGAAATATCCTGGACTAAATTGTGGTTTTTGAAATAACGTTAAATGTTCTTCTGTCACTTTTGAGCTTCAGTGCTTATTAAACCTAAATATCCTTCAACACTAAAAAATGCTGAAGAGGCTTTACGTTCAGCAATTTGTTTTAATTTGTTATGCATTAAAAAAGCATACCCGTCTCATTAAAAGTTTCCTTCATTAATTTTTGCGTACTTGAGACAAATCAAAAAATTACTTCATTTCATTTGTATCTTGTTTACCAAAGAAATAATTAATTTAATGAAAAATTTATTTTTTATTTTTTATTCTATATTTAGTATGCGGTGTCATGAAAAATCTGGATGAAAAAAAGGGGTTGTGAATGAAAAAAGTTTAAGAAGCTCGGCCATAAACGAATAAATCAACCCAATCTTTACGGTCTTAATCATTTAATTTTTGCTTTGCACCTCGTCCTAAAGATGATCTTATTCATTCAAAGAAATCCTTATTTATTTGGTACTTATTTTTCAAGAACTTAATAACAGCATTTTCAGACATTTCTTGCGAAATTCAGATTTTTAAACAAAGTGAGATTTCGATTTTAAAACAAAATAAATTTTAAAGTTTAAACAGGTAAAATATAGTTCTTAGTTAAAACTGGGCTCAGCTAACTAAGTACGTTTCATTACTTACAAAATAATTTTCTTTTTATTTATAATCGCGGAAATTTTAGGGTATGATATTTTAACGCAAAATATCCATTTTGATGACTCTCGAATCCATTTAGAGGAGTTTTTTGTGACATCTGTATGTACGCACAGAACAAAGCAGATTGTAAAATGGAATTAAAATGGATTCAGACTTTTTTTCATGATATCTGTATGTACGTACGCATGTATGCATCAACTCAAAAATGATTGGCCGTAGAACATTGATAAATAGAATTGCTATAACATCTAGTTGCACACCGCCTTTTTTTTATTCCAATCGGCCACACCAAACATATATCCATATCTATATACTGTATTGAATTAATTGAAATTCATTGAAATCGAATCAGATACATTCTACTAACTTTATAGTAGGAGTTAATATAATCAATATTACTTTAGCAAATAAATTATTATATCTATATCAATATAAAAGTAGCAAGACAACATGAATTAGAGAGACCTTAGGTCAAGAATTTTGCGCATTGAGCTGCAAATTTTTTAAAATTTTTTTAAGTAAGAGGAATGTCTAAAATCTAATGCTAGAAATACATTTCACACTATAGTTCCTTCGTCAATAGTTCATTTGTCCTTTAGCATTTTTAGCATACAACACAGAAATAAGATATAAAATACATAGAAATAATCGCCTTCCTACAACATAGAAAAAAGATCCTATACGTTGATTACTTGCCATGTTTCGTTATTTTATATAGATAAAGTTTGTGTAAACATTTTTTTTCACTTCTACTATGCTTGTGTCTAGCGACTTTTATCGATTTAAATTTTTACTCAATCTTATAACCGGAAAAAAGTTTACCAAAGTAGCAGTATTTCGATTCTTTTTGCACATCCTAATAGCAGGACTTCTGCTGCTTATGTTATACTCACGTTATTAAGATGTTTTTAATAGAACAGTGTTGTTGTGACGAAATATGTAGAATTCGTATGAAACAAATTAAGTTTAATGTTTGAGAAAGCTTAAACTTCTCATTGATCAAACTGACGAATTGCTTCAAATCAGACTATAGACTTACAATGGTCGAAAATAATATGCAGGTATCTCTGTGAAACTTATACAGTAATGATTAAAATTCAATAAATTTTTATTTTAATTTGAATTTGGCAAGGTATTTCTCGTTAAAAAAATCATCTGCTTCCTGTTTTCCTAATTGAAATCTCTTTATAATTAATTCTCAGGTTGCCAGAGTAAGCACTTTCCATTCTTGTATTCTAAGGAATTTTAACGCTTTTATTTTCTTTGCAAAATTCCCTATTCATAAATATATCTAAAGGGTTGAACATTAAAGTCTGAAAGGAGACTTAAAATTACAAAACATGATTTTGCAATTTTATGGGCAAAATTTGAATCCTAAACGTGCTGATTCCACAGCTCTTTTACTACGCAGTAATTTTCTTCATATTCACTATGGAAAATTGAAAACCAACCCCAAATTTCTGTAGTTTGGATAAATAGCATGAAATATTTTAACAGCGTATGCTTCAGATTCTAATATCAAAGTTTGTAATAAAAATGTGGCAACAGGGTGAAGCGACCGGTGTCTTAAACCGGTATGAATAGCATAAATCTGAAATCTGTTAATAAAAGTTCTACACGGGTACCAGTTTTTGCAACACCTGTAAGAATTTCTATTTTTTTTTCCTAATTTAAAACAGAAATATTCGTATTTTAAAGATCTTTTTTTTAGCAGTAGGTGTTTTACAGATTTGTTTAGATCTCATCTAATGAAACAGAAACATTTGGTACATCGCTTTCTTTGTTGAATTATTTTTTTGTAACTTTCAAATTAAACAGTATATCAGATTGATTGCACACTGCTGTCAAACATGTAATATATTAGCTATATCTAGTTGATTTTGATTTTTCTTTAAATTTACCAATGGCTCAGTTTTAGTGCCAAATACTTGATTATAATGTGTAGATTTCGTGACTTTTTATAACTTTGTACAATTTCAAATATTTTTTAACCTTTCCTAAGCATAATAAACATAATGTTTAGTAAAAGGATATTATGGAAGTGACATTATGACATACGATGAGCAGGGCGAATGAAAAAAGTTCTGGAGAGCCACTGTTTTTTACAGCATCATGTACCTCAAGTAATGAGTCAAATATTTGACGAAAGACAGCTACAATCAGTTTTTTCTTAATTCATGTAAAACCCTCACACATATTCTCATATTCGCGCTGCTGATGGAAGGCATTGGTAACGCAAAGGTGGAAACTCCGCATTTTGATATGCTACGGACCGTTCTCAATATATATTTTGAACTGTAAGTGATGCTTTCTATTTTTGCTCTTTGGCTTGCAAACTATGGGATGCCGGAATACTATTTGTACTATTTACTGGATATAACAGATAACAATGACACAATTTTAAGGAGATTTCTTCTTCCTTACTGTCTGCTTTTGTGATGCAACTGAACAGCATATCCAGCTAGCAATGGGAAGGTCTGGAGTTCGAGTTCCAGCAAAAGATTGTTAATATTTGTTTTTTTTTTTTTTTTTTTTTTTTTTTTTTTTTTTTTTTTTTTTAATTGACAGGTAGCCCCGTTAGCGCTCGAACAGGGGCTTAAACTCTGGATCTTCCGATTGCTAGCCGGACATGTTTTCCAATTACTCCACGAAGGCACGCAGCAAGCAGAGAGAAAATTCCTTACAAAATCAGCACTAAAACAATAAATCTAAGTATTTTTCTTTTGTGGTTGTTACTTAAAGACCACATGTTTTACATATTCGTCAAGATTCTTTTTCTTAAGCAAATTGCAGATAAGGGAAGTACTAGGTCTAAGGATTTGTAAATGTAATAAAATAAGCTTTCCAGACGCCTGTAATATTATACATGTGATGCATAGTGTAATAAAAAAAAGATAATGTAACTTAGAAATTAATTAATAAATTCTAGAGTTAGATCTTACAAAAGTATTTTAGAATTATGTTTTGCGATAACTTACTCCAATTTTTATCATTCGATTTATTTTTAATTGCCCAATTTGAAAGGTCAGTTTTGTAGGATTCCGAAAATGGTTCATTTTTACGTTTGTGATAATTAGAAGAGAAGATATAGCCAATTAACTGCACTGGAAGTGAAAGCGGAAAGACCGGAAGTGCCATTTAAAAGGCTCAACTTAAAGTTAAACAATGTTGTTATCCGTGGGTTTTTTTTTTTTTTTTTACTTGTTTGTGTGTAAATTGTGCTAAAACATTTCATTTTAATTCTGGGTACTTTTTTTTTTTGTTTCTGGTAATAATTATTTGCCTTAATTTTTTGAACTAGGACTGGCAACATTGCGGTTTTTTTGAACTGGGTCTGGCAACATTGCGATTAGGTATA